ACAAGGTAGGGTTATACTTGCTGCTGCCTATTTCAGACACGAAGGTATTACGATCTTACTGGCACCTGGGTAATTACTTGAAACACCAAGCAGGATACCTTCGGCAAGCATTGCTGCTGCTGGTGCTGGCGGTAGCCCGTAGCAGCTTTGGCACTAGTGGAAACAGTAGGAGGATGCATAGAACAAGAGGAGGGTAGAAGAACCTTCTCAACAAGCGGCTGCAGAAGCTCCAACAAGGGAATCACATGGCGAAGTCACGTCTCCTGCTCAACGATGATGAGTCTTACAGCAAAATTAGCCTTCTGGGTTCAGATCCTCCGTGTCAGCTTGTAAAAACCTGAAACCCGAGACTTACAGGTGCTTAGTAGGAAATACAGGAATATACCCCCTATATACTACCCAATTCCCTACTAACCCCCAGTCACAAATTGAAGGAGCCCAGAGAAGTGTGGCCGAATCATGCTCAGGGTTTAAGGTTTAGGGTGCTGAATCCCAAACAAACAAGCCCCGATTGAGTCCTAATCAGGCCAAACGTGGGATTTTATGCCAGGTTTCTCATGATTCGGCCTCGGCTTTAAACAGGCTCCAGACAGGGCTGTAGTTTCCTTATACCTATATAGTAAACATAACATCTTCACTAATTCCTTAGGGTTATACTACATCGATTCTCTACATCTATGCAAAGCCATCTAAGTGCCCTGCAGTTCGCACACATGTTTGCTACTAGGCTTAGTTGCCATCCTACCTAAAGTCAGGGTAGAGTGACGAGGCTACTCATGCAGCAATTTTGCAACATGACTCCCATAGAATCCTTACATGAAGAACTCCATAGTCAAATTCGGTCCCTAGGGCCCCCTAAACCCTAAACCCTGACCCCGATGTGAAAAGAATATTGTTGGTGGTTCAACCAGGTAAGATTGCATTCTGTATTAAAGGACTAAATCCCAAAGGAGGATACAACCTTACTCCCTTACTCTACATTGGGTAGCATAGTATTCACAGACTTAGAGAGTTTGGCGTCGAAGTACATTGGCTGTCAGGTGAACTTTACAGCTTCTATAATTTGCAATTATGGCCGTCTCCATGCACTTGAGACTTGTTTGCCATGATCGAAGAATGTTGGCATCAATGCTCGTGCCAGCCAGACAAATTCTGAGAACTTTGCTGGGGTCTTCAGCGAAGTTGATTGTTTTCTGACATGAGGAACAGAAGGGCAGTTCGTGTGCCCAGTCAGGGTTAACTACGTGAAAGAGCTTTTTATCTGGCAATTCCATTGGGTACCATAACACCACTCATGTGAGAGCAGCGCAGCTGAGCGGCCACTTCTCGTAGGCGGTTGTGTTTTGAGTGGGCTTCTCATCCGCTACAGTCCTGAGTTCTCAGGCGACTCGGAAGATGCAAGGCTTTGACAATTAAGTGGCATCTTGCTGTAGCTTAACGCGGTAGGGCTGCAGACATTAGCGAACTTCCTCGAATCACGACCGCAGCTATGCTAGGAGGGAGGCAGGATGTCAAGTCATTGTTCACGAGCTGGCCGGCTTCAGGAAGGGCTGCCCTAACTCCTTCCTGTCAAGTGGGGTTGGGTGCTTGCGGTTCTAGCAGTCAATCAGTCTAAGCGGCGCCATGGTGCCGGCCTCAGAGGCCTGCAGCTGACGGGACAGGACTCGCAGGTGCTGATGCATGGGATTCACTCACCAACTACATTTGGGGTTACAGCAGTGCTCACCCACCAAGTAATCTATATAAAGTGTCATCATGACTAGGATCCTAACCAAGCGACAAGTATGATTAGGCAGTCAGTCCCATGAACTGCCAAGTGCAATGAGAGCTGCGGAAGAATGTTGCATTGCGATACCAGGGTTCTGACCCATTAGCCTGCCGCCTCACTTCTGGTAAGCCCCAAACCCTGAACTCACAGGCAAGTAGTAGGGAAGAAGGGAATATCATCACAATATAATCCCCATCTACAACACTAGATTCCCTTGTTCCCTACCAACCCCCAGGAAGTAAACCCATGGCTTGGGCAAAACCCCGAACTCGAAACCCTTAAACTAGCATCCCTTATTCCCTACCAACCCATGAAGTAAACTGGGTTGCTGTTAAGGATCTTAAATTAAGTTACTATATTGGGGAAACCCTGTTTTTTTACTATACATACCCATTATGGTAACTTAATTTAAGTTCCTTAACAGCAACCCAGTAAACTCATGGCCTGGGCAAACCTAAGCTCTTAACCCTTAACCTTCCGTTCACAGGCATCAGGACAGGACAGCCTTAAAACACATCCTAGCTCCTGATTCCCATCCCGTTTGAGGTCTAGGGTTTAGGATTACGCTACCAAAACAAACCTTGGAACCTTTCCCTAAACCCTAAACCCTAAAACCCAAACCCTAAACCCTAAACCTATAAAAAGGAGTGTTCCATGTAGCTTGATTGTGGCCCATCTCCCTGCGGCCTTGTCAGTGGTGGTCCAGGCAAAGACTGACATGTCCTGCCAATGAAGTGATATGCAGTACACCACTCGTTCTCGGGTAGCACTCAAGTAAAAAGCCAGGGCGGTTGGGTTTAGGGATTTACTTGGATAAATCTCAGGGCCTTTGGCTTTCAGCGACGGAAACTCCTCAACAATTTAACCTGCCCATGCAGCCTAAATCCTGAGGCAGTTCTTGGGTCATTTGTGAATTAACCCCAGTCAGAGGTGCAGAATGTACGGCACTTCGGAACGCTAAGGCTATATAGCAGTCGGTAAATGGACTACTGTCTAGAACAGCCATTGCAAGATTGAAAAGGGACCACTCGCTTGCCCCAGAACAGGCCCTGCATGTCCTCATCATCCGACGTGACATCTGCCCAAGACTTACGCTCGGGCTTGCCGGGCGCCACAGCCTGCGCTCCAAGCAAGCCGCACAGCCGGTACTAGTACACAAGCTGGCGCTGATGCTGGTGGTGCTGGCAATGCTAGTGCTGCTGGTGGCGACAGAGGTTGTGGATGTGGTAGTAGTACTAGCAGCATCGAAGCAGCAGAAACAAAAGAAGGAGGAGGTTTAGTCGCGGCAGTGGAATCTCGAACGCTGCGCCCACAAGCAGCTTTGGAGGGGACAGGTCATGAGTTGGGGGGGTGGAGGGGGGCGGCAAACTAGTTCATTTGAGGAACTCCCCGTCCGGCTGGGGGTCAAGGTGTCGTAAGATTTCGGAACTTGTTCTGATCCTAACAATCCCCAGCACTTCTAAAGTAATTAATAGTAATCAATACTAAGTGATAGCTGATAAGAACTAATATCAGTTATTGTGATAACTATAAGCGATAAAAAGACTCATAATAACTAATCAATAATTCTCAGACAGGGTTTGTCAAGGGTTTCTGAAAGTTTGTGTGTTTGTCTTCGGAGCTTGCTGTGCTTACTGTCGTCACGAACGTAATTACGCCCCGTACAAATACTCAGACAGGGTCTGCGTAGGGTTTCTGAAGGTTCGTGAGGTTTGTCTTCGGAGCTTGCTGTGCGCACTGTTGTCACGAACGTAATTAATCCCCCTCCCCACCCCCTCCCTCACCACCAGAAACCGGAAGGTAGCCATGTAAAGCAATTTTTCAGAAAAACGCCGCCCCATCCAGAAATCTCAGAGTTGAGGCCGAAACCACTGTAAAATCAGCCTGAAGTAGAGAAAAATCGAACGTCAGCTACCAACCCTTCCCCTAGTAGTACTTGTAGTAGTAGCAGCAGCAGCAGCAGTAGTAGTAGCAGTAGTAGTAGGAGGAGCAGTAGTAGTAGTAGTAGGAGTAGGAGTAGGATTAGGAGTAGTAGAAGCAGCAGCAGCAACAGCAGCAGTAGTGGCAGCCACAGCAGCGGTAGTGGCAGCAGCAGAACTTGCCATACTGCCCTGCTTTCACGGCAACAGCTTCCTGTTTATCCCTCGCCTTTTTCATGCGGAGAGACCAATGCATTCTAGAGGTGCATGTGTAAGACTGTGGCTTGCAACGCAGCCAAGGAGGACTCTGAATTAAAATTCAATTTATTGCTTGCAAAAAAAGACGAATTCTGAAAAACAAAAGCCCCGCACAGCCATGGCACGATGACAGTACAGATCCTCAAAAACCTACATGATTTGTTAGAACTCTGCATCTTCATACCCCTGCTTGTCAGCCTTCATCGTCCCCAGCTCTCGGGACAGACGGAAGCGGCGATCCACATACCACTGCCTGCGGTCCGCTCAGACCGAATCTAAACCTAAACTATGTCACACCTTTGACTCCAAGTGTAGTATAAGCCATACGCACATAGCATTCGATCCGGGTGTGTATGTCTACATATATATATATATATGTATGATTATGTATACAAATACGAATTCACGTACATGCAGAGGTCTAACCAGCTTATCAACTGCGTGTCTGCTTCTGCAACTGAATACCAACAAAACAAAGCAAAACTCCTAAGCTTACCCCTGCTTAGCAAGGAACGAAGGAATGGATCCTTAATAGTAGTCTACCCCAATAGTACAGTAGTTTCCATGTTCCTTTGCATTCCTTCATTCCCCACTAACCAGATGTAAGCTATGTAACCCTACATAAACCCCCAGCTTCCGTTCCATGTTCCATGTTATTTCTCATTTGATTCTCCCTTATGGGGGTACTATCCCTAAATAACTTATTACCAACAGACCAAAGCAAAAAGCTCCTAGGAGACTCGAGCTGCGCCAGCCACAAGCCAGCTGGCCCCAGGCCCCCTTGTTCTCAGCAAGTTATGAACACGCTTTAGTGGTCTGCAGGAAAAACTGGGATTAGATGGGGTGGATGGACATGGAAGGGCTTGATAAGGTTCGCAAGATTCTTTCAAATGCTTTCCTGGGGCTATACCGGCACAGGCTTTATTTGACTTGAAATAAGACCCGAACCCTCAAAGCCTGCAGGGCCCCGCACTTTTACCCAAGAGAGCCTTCAGGTTCAAATAGTGAGGCATAACTGCGTAATCACGCTGATAACGTTTGAGATCTCCAATGATTCAGATCAAGAGGCGCACAACATCCATAGGAGTCCAGCCTGCAACGCAGGTATGGTCAAACAGGATCTCATGTGCTTCAGCAGCAGGAACCATCATGACATCCTCATAGATATGTGCATCCTCCATAGCAGCCATAGCAGCTGGCAATTTGCGCAACACTGTCTGAAACTCGTTCTTTCGGCCTGGCACGAATTAAGGTCTGCTGAAACCCGGCCTCCAGCCCACATGTCACGGGCCCTGGTAATGAGGGTCCTGATCTCACAAAGAATAGCTACATGTCTTTCAGTCAGCCAAGAACATGTGACAACGTGTCAGCATGACACACGACAGCTTCGGGTGTCAATGTTTCCCTATGGCCTCTGCCACCAAGGCAAAGAGTTCAGCCTGTCCGGGTGAAGCAGTCCCTGATCATCTCCTGAGCTTTCTGGGCCTTCACAGCATGGCAAGCTTCAGGTGCCCAATGGAATCCAAGACTCGCTTCTCACCCATCCCAACTGGGCTAGCCAGTATCAAAGCTTCAACATTCTCAGGGTGCTTCATTGCCTGAGATGACTCAGCCTCTCGCTATCTCTGACTCTCCCTTCCTCTGCAACAATAGACTGCTCATCAGCACCTGTGAAGCTATTTGCTGAACCAGTGGCATAGCAAGCGGCAAAGTAGCCTCCGAAGCTGTGCCCCAGAAGCACCACTCGCTCCAAGCCGACAGACCGGCGCCACCGCTCGATGCCATCGATGAAGTACTGCTCGCAGTTGTGCGTGCCCTGAGGGTGTGCAAAACCCGTCAACAACTTGTCCCTCATCTTTAGTTCAAAAGTCTCAGACCACGCAAGCCCTGCAAGCCCTTCGCCTGAAATCTACGCAACGGACTGTAAGGGATCGTGCCTGACCCAGGGGAAACTCAAGCTTCGAGGATAGGCCCCAACCAGGCCAGTCAATGGAATAGACATTTCTGCCAGTGGAGGCCAACGAATCCAAGCTATGAGCCCACGATCCTGACCCCATGAAGTAGCCGTGGATCAGCACTACAGGGGCAAGCCCGCTCCCGGTTCTCGCCCCCTGCGAGACGCAGAGCGTGTGCACTGTGTGCCCATCACAGCCGATGGGGACATCAGTGATCTTCAGCTTTGAGTGAGACACCGCACTCCTGAGCAGCGCAGCCTCTGCTTCCCTGAGGCGCTCCTCGCTGGACCGTGTCCACCAACCGCGAAGGCACTCCCAAGCACCTGTGAAACTCCCAGAGGATGTCAGCGACTTAGTCGCAGCCTCCATGAGTTCCAATGGCTCTTCAGCCAGAACAGGGTGGCTCGTGCCCAACAGCTGCAGCAAAACACGAGCACGCATCAACCATCTCGATCATCTCGCCACACCAAATCCTTGACGCATTACAGAAGTTTACCATCCATGAGCCCAGCAGCATAGTTAACGCCTCTGCCTCTGCCCTATGTCGAGTCTATACAAGTCCCACCGTGTGCGCAGACCGCGGAGCCCTGACAAGCAGACAAGGGGGACGCAGGGCGTCAAGACGACACTGAAATGAAAAACTATGGAAAACCTAAGGTTACAGCAGAAGCGTGAACAGAGAGCCCAGAAAGGGGCTCTGTGTGGACCTCCTGCTGGTCGGTGGCGCGGGCGCTCATCATCTCTTGGCCTGGCGCCATGAAAGGGCAGGGCTCTAATTAGGCAGTAGGGAGGCCTGCTTAGGCATGGGCAAACGCAAAGACACAGATTCACCCGTGTTTCATGCCGCTGGAGATTTAAAGCCAGTTCGCCCGCTTGAAAAGCCTGCTGAGTCAAAAGAGCGCCGTGGGTTTCCTTGACTGAACCAAGACATGAACATGCACAGTAGATTAGGTGCAGTCTGCACTGCCTGCGGATCATATCACATCCTCCCATCAGCGTTGACTCACGACGTTCAAACTGATTGAGTGGCCAGTAGCCCTGAAAGTCTGTCCCCCTCTGGGTGCCAGGCCCCAACAGGTCCAGCATTCAGCTGCTGCGAGGGGAAGGCATGGACGCGGCTGCTGGCACACTCTGAAGCAGACTGTTGCCTAGTGCAGCTGGAGGCACAAACAGTGCCTCTGAAACAGCTGCAGGCTGCAGCCCTAGCAGAAATCTGCACAGAAGTCACAACTGTGGCACCTCTTGCCAGGCAAGTGAAAATCGTCAGTCCTTGTGGAGCAGACACGTGCTGAAGTGCGGAAAGACTATAGCAACTGCCTTACTAGTACTAACACACAAATCTGAGCTTCACAATGTACTTTGTACGACACAGCGAAGTGCAAGGTTGCATAGGATAGACGGGAAGAGGACTTGGCAAGACGCATTCAGCAGCTTGCTCAAGCTCTTCAAAAGCAAGCCTGGCTCGAGTTCAAGAAGATGTGACGATTGCAGGCGTTCACGATGCGGTCGGCATGAATTCAAGTCCACTCCCCCCTTTGGATGCTGGCACTAAGAAGTTCTGAGATGAGTTGAAATGAGCATTCAGCACATCTAGCCAGCTTACAAGACTAGCCGTGTTGGGAGAGGAGAACTCTGATCCAAGCGTCTGGAACATATTCTCATCAACTCCACAATCAACCACGAGGCAAATCTGACTACATATGAGTCCCCAACAAAGGCGCGCCCAGACGCAGAGATAGGTATTGTGTGGAGACCGCGGGTCACCGGCAGCCCAGGGACTCGCCAATTTTCTGCGATGCCCCAGCCTTAAGAGGAATATACGTGTCTATAGGGGTTATAGAGGGATTGTAGAGGTGTATGTTGGGGTACATGTTTGTACAGGTGTGTAACGATAATGCTGTAACAAAGAAGCGAAGGTAAAAGAAATAGAATCTTAAATGGAAGCTACAAGCTACCACTGGGGGTTTAGGGTCGAGGGAATACTGGAGAATGACATGATAAAGAGATTGGAACATGAAATCGCAACTTACATCGGATACCGTATATAGTTTTCTTAAAATCCTGCTTGGTAGCTTCATCATGGTTGAACAGCTGCTTGGCTCCTGACACAGGCAACTACTTACTGATGCTGAAGGGAGAGTTGGGGAGTGGGTCCCTACAATTAACCCTATATACTCCCCTTTAATAACTCCCATATACCCCCATAATGGCACCTATGTTCACTCCCTCACTCCTCCTTAAGCACCTGTACGGCAAGCTCACAGCTTCAGAATCAAAGCCTCCACGCTGTTGGCTTCATCACAGCTTTTGGTAAATCTTGCAAAGCATCTTCTGCAATCTTGACAGCCACTGCAACAAACTGAAGATGCATGTCCAAGGAACTACCAGGCAAGCCTGTGCCACCTTAGATGTCCAATCCAGTTGGCGGGGGTCAGGCTCTCCGTAAATGTCGGAAGGATATGAAGCAAAGCTGCAGGTCTCAAACTGTTGCAGCTACGAATATGCGTCGAAAACATTATCACTACTTGGGGGACCTTGCTCTTGCGTCTGAGTCCTAGTGTAGGGACCCATGCAGGTACAATTAAATCTTGGCACACCGGATTTGAGGCCCCGACTCACTTGGAAAGGATAGCCAGGGCCTGATCAACGGCGCTGAGAGTTCGTGGCCAATGTCCATACTAAAGCCGTCACCAGCACCGCCATCACCACCACCACTGCCACTACTTCAACAACCCGCCTCGTGGATTTTTGTCCAGTGTTTGGTGCGAGAATGGTACTCTCGCAACAATTTCGGGCAAGTTTCAAGGACTTCGAATCGCCTAAGAATTAATTTTCTTAGGAATGTTGCTAAATGTTGGATTTTGGCGCTATTTCGAACGCAAAGACAATTTGCACACAAAGAGGTCCAGGAGGCGCGGAATCCAGCGTAATTTACACTACTTTGGGGTGTTCGAGGGTGCAAAATGCTCGTTTTCGGCGGATCCCGAATTTTGCGGTATTTTGGCACTTGAGGCTCTCGGAACGATCCCTGGACTAAGAGGAACGATCCTTGGACTAATGAGGCGAGGATAAATTGATGGAGCGTAGCTTGGACTAGTGGGAACGACCCTTGGACTAATGGGGCAATGATAAATTTCCATCAGAACTCCTCACCAGCTTGGATTGATGGGGCGTAGCTTGGACTAATGAGAACGATCCTCGCACGAAGAGGAACGATTCTTGGACATGACGATGAAAGCCATTGGTCATTAATGACAAGGATCGTGACATCTGCATCCAGAATTGTGATTCCGTTTGAGGAGGGCTAAAGAATATGGAGAGGTTACAAATCAGTCGGGCGTTCCTGAAACAATGGCTTGTGTTTTCATGTTCTCAGATCTGATTGAGATCGCACGTGTGGGAGCGGACAGGGGGAACCTGTTTGAGAAGCTCTGATATAGACATTCCATTAGGCCAGTCCAGCCAGATGTGCAGAGTCGAAACCTTGTAGATTCCCACAGAGCACTCTCCAGGATAGGAGCATATCTCAACACACAGGTCCGGTCTTGGGTGGTGATATGCAGCGATGCAAAAGGATTCAAGCAAGCCATCATAAACCAAGGTATTTTGGTTAGCTGATCAGGACCACAAAATCCTTTATGGTGACATAGATCTACACGTATGCATATGAGATGTATACATACATTCATCCATGTAGTCACAGGTCTAATCTTGAGAACTTCCCAAGACCTGCCTTCTCGCCCATCAGCTTTCCATACCTCGGCACATCACGTCTTGGGATCGGTCGAGCACTGGCGGTTCACAGATTCGATGATTCCCAAACAAACTAGACATCTGTTTGGCGGAGCCTCTAGAGTATGAATTTCCGTATTTGATGTGCATAGGGGCGCGCCGGCACGTAGGGCCAACTGAAATGAAGGCAGTGCAGAAGACTTAGACTGGGTCAAGCTGGGCCTGAAAAAGCTGAAAGCAGAATCCGCCGGGGCCCCAACTTGTCGGCCTCCGCCTTGTCCTCCTCGGTGATGTCGTCATAGCTCGCATTTGGTGTGTCGTCCTGCAGGCCACAATTCAGGGATTACGAGTCCTGTCATCATTGTGTGGGATCAATCCAGGATCCGAAGGGCTGGGGAAGCATTCAAAACAGGACAGCCTTTTCAAATTCCATTCGAGCGGACTTCCCCTGTACTTTGAGGAGGGAACCTTTTTCAAAGGCGAATAGAAAATTGGCGTAGCAACTGGCTTTTGCCCCATTGTCGCTCTCGACGACAAGAACCATTCCGCCAATGTATGGCAGAAGTAAAGAAGAGTCGCCTCACAGCTACTCACTTGGTATCCGACACCACTTCTCTGCATCGTTACGGTGAATGAAGAAGGCGACGCCCTTCTGGTGCACCTCTGATTGAAACTCTTAAGGTTCAACGCTCTTGTGTGCGGGCGGTCCACTAGTCGCGCTGACTAACCCATGTGGGTACATGCATGCCCGCTTTGAAAGTTGCGAGCAAATCTGCATAGCTTTCAGCCGAGCGCAGCCAGGCTACCGCGTTTGCAATCGTCTGGGCCAAAGCCATCAGAGGTCCTCAGTCGGCGCAAAGATGCAGGGTTCAAGGCTTGACATTTGCCGTGACAGAGAAGCGACAAGTATGCTTAAAGCGTAGAGTGCTCTCGGTTTTCTCCCGGATGCCCCAATTTGCGGCAGCGGCTTTGCAGCCAAATGCAGCCAAGCTGCGCGGCCCAAGGACAGCTGAATGCTGGATCTTCGGGCCCTCCTCCCGCATGAAACGAGAGATAACTGGGACCTTCGATGCTGGGTGGTCGCGCAGGCATGTTTGGGGAATCGCTCTGCTGCAGCTGAGGCGCAGCTAGCGGCGAGCATCCCACGCCGCAACGCATGTCAACCAGAGCCGTGCCTTATGTTGAGAATCCTTCACTCTCATAACACGTCCTCCTGGTGATGCACTTATTTCAATGCCTTCATCAGCTGCCAGACAATTCGTGTGCATCGAGGATTAGAGAATTCTTTGTGCGCACAAGTCAAGACGGAAGGCCTCCACGAGAAGAGATGGGTGCTTAGCAAAATCTTATACATTTATACATCCCCACAACTGTGTAAGGCAGCGCCCAAAAAAGATCTTAGAGGAAGTGTTACATGAATTCAAGCCATGGATGCAGGTCACCCCGCTGTCAAGCTTCGCCATTGCCGACCGACAGTCTCTGAGCCTTCACGGATGGCAGCCTAAAACTAGAGGGTATCCAGACGAAATACTCAAGATAAGGGGATTTCCTGTCAACGTCCACCCAGCCCCCCCACCTCAAAAAAGGTTGTCTAGCTTTTGGCTTTCCAAAGCTTCCTTTTGAGGTTATAAGGTCTTTGTAGCACCCAACTCCTGAGCTGAGCAGCATTTTGCCCGTAGTGTCAACTGTGCCGAAGCCATGCAGTTCGAACTCCATCCGGCCATTCTGCCAGACGATCACCTTGCACGGAAACCCAAGATGAAATCAGCACGAAGCGGCTGATCCTTATGGTTACAGTAATTAGTAGTAGTGGTAGCAGTCGTCGTCGGTGGTGATGGTGATACCTACGCGGTTCCTGTCCAGCATGTTGAGTCTGGAACCATCCATGTTTTTTTTCCGAAAGCACTTATGTTTCGCACTTCTGCCACGATTTCAGTTTTATGTTAGCCTGAAACATGACAAAAATGTGATCACCCCGTGGGCATTTGCCACTCCATGCATGGATCAAGATGTTGAATCCAAAATAGTCACGGATCCATTCTCTTGCATCCAGATGTCCAAGATGTTTCACTGCATCCATGTCTGCTAGATTTCATGGTTTGAAACTGATGAAGCTGCAATGTTCTATAACGATATCTTGATACATGTCTCACAAAATCTGGATCTAAGGACCTCAAAAACAGTTGCAAACAAAGGCAAGAGTGCTGCCAGGGCAACTAATTTTCAGAATGAACATGGATTTTCGCAACGGCGATGATACAAGTGAACAGGAGAGAAATAGTACTCGTGCTGGTACGGAAGTAGTGATACTAGTCGTATCAGTAACCATACCCAGCATAGTCATGGAAGAAACAATACAAATAGAAGCAGCCTTCGCTGTTGCTATAACTATTCAGCCCCGAGAGAAGCGCCTGGCAGCTGCCCAGGGCATTGGAATACCTGTGCAGACCAGAAACCAGCAGGTGTAATGTGTATGCATACATATTTACACATGCATGTGTATGTATATATTCACACAAATATGTGCGTGTTTGTACATGGGCGTACCAAAGTTTCATAAACCCGCGGCCAGCTAATAATTCAGATGGCATCATTTTGGGGCAGTCAAGCGCTGCGGGCGTGTAATGTTGTAAACCCCTCACTTTGAACTTTAATGGACTTCTGCTGGAATCCTTGCCTCTAACTGACTCGGAGCCTTCTCACGTTTGTGATCATCAAGAGGGGGGGCAATCGCTTTGAAGGGGTTTGGAGCATGCCCGTGGAATCCATGTCCCCGCCTGGCAAGAACGACAATTACTTGTTTTCTTGGACTGGGCACGATAGGATAGGCGTTTTAAGATCCAGTGATCCACATGCGCACCCAACCCCTGCCCCCCTGAACCAAAGAGTGTTCTGTTACAGCTCCTGTGGCATCCTGTGCCCAACTTACCCACCCTACACTTGCACCTCAAACTGCTTGAGAGCTCTGGTCTTCTTCCGTACCATTCCAGTGAACGCGTGAAGCTGAAAGTCAATTCACAAAGACGCAAGAGACTTCACAGGAGATTGTTTTCCTAAACTTTCATATCCTTCCTTTTCTGGGCTGTCGATGCCAGGACTAGCTCAAGTAGATTCTGTTGCAGATGTTCCCTATGAATCGACTTGATTGAGGTGCGAAGTTCATGTGTCTTCAGACAAAGCATTCGGGCTGTGCAAGCCATGGCGCGTAGAGTTTAGCATCACAGCTGGGTCGCTCGCCCAGGCGCTGCTCCTGAGGCTTGTGCCATGTTCCCCAAAAGCAAGAATTTGGGAAAACCGGTGATCCCTTACAGGCCACCCGGTGAGAGACAGCAAACGCATGCCGGGTGGAGATGCCCAGAGTTCACGCGCCTTGTGCCAGGGATGGTCCACACAGGGCCGGAACCCAAATGATCGGACCTGTCAGAGTCCAGCTACATCGCCAGGATCTGCAAAAAGCACCCAGCTTTCCAAGCGTCATTCTGCCTGTCATGGATGGCTATCCTGAAAATTGGCGCTGCGAGTGTCAGAGCCAGACCTGAGCTTCAATTTTGTTTGATGTTTGGGGCTTAGGGTTTAGGGTGTCAGCTGCTGGCAGCTGAGCAGCCCAGTGAGAGCAATGGGCTTAGCCTCCGTCTGGTGGGGGGCCGCGCAGGGCATGCAAAGCCAAGCATTGCTGAAAACTGGAGCAAAGGTACTGGCTAATTGTTTTGTCCTTGCTGCAGCTTTGCATCTAGCCTATCTCAGCTCAGATGAACAAAACATTAGAGATCTTGGCAGGCAACCATGTGTGTGTCTGGTACAGGCAGGTCAGCATGCTGCAATATCTGTAAAGACGAGTAATGACGAGCAAATCATCCTCCTTGCAGCTGTGGTCAAGCATTCCGTGTTTGACCTGAATCTATGGTTGGGGGCTCGAGCTTGCTGCTGCGGCATGCACAGCATGCACAAAAGCAAACATCTCGTTCAACGCTCATGTCCCATAATCTATCTGCGAGCAGTCTAGACAAAGTCGCATCTATCCAGAAACGGGCTTCTCCCGGTGAAGATAAGCCAGACCCTGTTCTCACGTGTTCTCAAGGATTCGGCCACTAATGCTACAAATCTAGGGACGAGTGTTTGCCTGCGCGTTGCACTGGTCAGCCCTCACTTGGTCCTTGCAGTACGCCGCCAAGCATCGGCTGATGCCCACGCAAGAGCCTAGGATGCTGGAGCTGCTTTCCAATCCACCCATCGCAATGTGAATCAAGCCGCCTGGATAAGGAACCTGACCCTTCAGAAGCTGGGCTGGGAATAGCATCAGTGGTAGACTTACTTAGCACTGAGAACCAGCTGCCATACCATTCCCATACAAGGTACAGTTGAACTCCCCAACGATCCATTTCTCCTCCTCCGGCGCCGTGCCCTGTCAATACGTGCTGGATACACACGACTGTTGTCACAGCTTAGCCGAAGCTCTATGGTCTGCAAGCCCTCTGTCTGACCTGCCTCCGGCGAGGAATTGATGAAATCGGTGGTCCACCACAGTGGCACAGGCTCATTGGGGAGGTCCAGTGCGGGCATCACCTTTGGCAAGTCCTGGCATGCACAAGTTCCCTCAGTGAGTTCAAAGAGAGCCCTGCATGCGACGCGACCAGCAAGGGGAGAAAACAAAATTGCACCAACGGTCCACGCAGCCCCACGTTGCTGCGCCAGAGCTTTCTGCAGCACCGGCAAGGGTGCAAAATCTTCACTTGCTTCCAGCAGCCCTTTAACCCCCCTTACATGGCTGCACCGTGAGTTGGTCTCCTTGTCCAGGAAGTTTGTGGTCAAGTTCTTGAACAGCGCCTGACTTCGCCAATTGCTGGATTGTGGACAATGTTGATGGCTATCTTCTGAACATGTAGGCTTACCTCATGCACGGACCCAAAAGAACAGTTGTGCGCCAAAGCACACTGCAGAAACTCTTCACCCCAAAACAACGTAGCATGCCACAGAGCAAGCGCGCGGTCTCAGAGCTTTGCAGCCGTATCCATTTGAGACTGGTCGATGTAATTTCTGAGATTAATTTTGGACAGACCAGCTTCACGACCCTGCCTCTTCCGGCCCGTAGTAGGTGTAGATCTCAGCAAACAAGTTTCCTATTTTCACTGCCCTCGTGCATTGCCAGAATCAATCACACGGCAAAGGACCAACGACGACCAAGCAAAGAATCCCGCACATAACGTATGCCCAATGAGAGGCAGATCAGGAGAGGATTGGAATGCAGTGCGTATGCTAAAGTTCAACAGGCGGTGAGCTGTAGTCCAGACAGGTCTAGGGCATAAAAGTTGCACGAAATGTGAAACCGGCAGACAGAAACTCACTAATTTTTCATGAGGAAACGAACCTGGACCGCAGATCCTGCAGGCCTTCCACAGAAGCACGACGACATGAAAATCTGAGGCCCTAGCTGAGCCGGTTCCACCGACAGCAGAAATGCCACCTTCCTAGAGAAGTTGCAGAGAGTTGCATGTCTGCTAGGACATGCAAAAACAAGAATGGGTTTCATAACTAGCCAGCCTTATTGCCCCTTACTTGCAACTGCGGTTGCCTCGCCAAGTTTTTGCTGGCGCCTTGGGCTTCTTGTGGATGATTCCGACAAGGGCATCCACAATGAGGTTGTAACCTGGGTTTGGGTTTTAAAGTTCAAAGATTAGGGTTACAAAGGCATCCACGCTAAGGTTGTAACCTGTCAGCCAGCTATTCACGCAACCTTTGCCTGATCATTCCTCAAGTCCACCTGCTAGAAAGTACTGACTAGAGGGACCCGCAATGGATGTGGTACCAGGGGACAGCAGAAAACAATAGGCTGTCTCCCAAAAGTAACTTCAGCCCGCGCAGCCCAACACCCCTGATTTAAAAAATATCCACCGTGATATTGCGAGCATGCAGCTTCCTTGAACAGGGTGTTGAGTCCTACTTTGATTCACCCTGTAGGTATAGCATGAGAACCCTCTATATTAGATCCCTATGTGAACTATGGTCTCAACTCCTAGTGTCCCCCTTAAAAACCCTATAATAGTCCCCCATATAATCCCCTATTTATCCGCCCTAAGGAGTTTAGACTACAGCTCATATGACTTTGCAAGGTCTTTGGCGAAGGACGGAGCTCGCCCTCCACGATGCGCGGGCAGAAGCGCTGGTCAACAAGCTGGCCGCCTGCTGCCTTGCCCCCCTGGACACGATGTTTAGGGTTTAGGGGTTAGGGGTTTAGGGTTTATGTAAGGCCCTGGACAACGATGTTTGCCCCATTGGGGTAATGTTAGGGTTTTATTGAGGTTATATGTGGACAATGGAAAATAAAATGGAAACTACTATATTATATAATTACATAGGGTTATATAGGGGATATATTGGGGGTTGGGGGTTTAGGGTTGCAAAGGAGCTATAATCACTATTTCCCCGAAAAATTAATGGGCATGGGATCCTTATTGGTATTAGGGAAAATATTACGGACTATACGAAACTAGAAGACGGACCCCTGTGTCCACCCTTATTAAAGCACATTCTGTCAGTAGCTCATATACGAGATTACATAACGATTATAGGATTTGGGACAGTACCCCGAGAATGGAGAATCAAATGGCAAATGAAAAACGGAAGCTGCGTTGTATAGGAGGTATAGGGGGATGTATAACATCGGGATATACCCAACACTGAAGACTCAAGCGGTAAAGAAAATAGGAAATGAAACTGACACTTTGATAATGTGGATTTGAGGCGTTCAGCTTTTTGGGTAGGGCTCAGTAGATGAGACTCTACTATGTTAGATATGAATGAGAGACAACACGCGTACCATACGGTGCACGAATTTAACAGAAGACAGGATGGGTCAGCACATGTGGAGGTTCAAGGCTGTTACTGTTGATTTATGATGTTTTTAATGTTTTTACACGTACGTGTAAAAACATGATTTATAATGTTTTTTACGCGCACGTGTAAACAACATTATAAATCATGAAGATTTTGGAGTAGCCTCAATGTTGGGTACTGGGGACGTATGGAAAGAGGCCATACTTTGGACAACCCCCACAATGTAACACCGGATAAACCCTGTATCAACCCCACATTCTAAGGATCAGAGCTTGCAGTTGGGGTCGGTCCTTCGAAACACGAGTGATGAAGAGATTTACGCTTTGGAGTTTCAGGCTGGTGCACTCGCGAATGTGGGGCGTCTACCGAAGGAGCAACAAATCGCCTCGAGGTACTTCCCGACACCCTTGGATGTCCACTCGCCCGATTTTTCCTCGGCAATCAATCTACTCTGATAGCGTGGCACGCGCTGGTATGCGCTCCCAACTACCGAGTATTTCTTCAGCGTCATGTACTGCTTTGGGGCACCCTTTGTGATGTGAAAGTTCTGCGGGCCTTGGAAATACTTTTCAGGATCCATAGCTTCCAAACGAGTTGGCTGGGGCTGCGAAACACTAAACACTCTTAAACCATCCGACTTCATTAAAATTGTACTGTTTTTCCCCAGGTCCGCGGACCGGGAAGTAAGGCTACCAAGCTTCCCATACTCCCTAACCTAAGCCACTCCTGAGAACCAGCAAGTTGAGCCTGAAAGTTTGAAGACCTGGATTTCAGAAACTGAAGGACTCCAAATAGCGAAGCTCCAATCAATGCCAAGTGCTCGGTTGGCCTAAGCCTGAACAATCTCTCGGGGGCAAAAATAAGGGGGTACCCGTATAGTGTCCATCAGGTTGTTGCTCCTAAAGCCTGAAAGCCGCATGACATCACTGATGGTCGTGATAATTCTGATAAATTCCAGATGCGAATACTGATAGCCGAAAGTCATACTATTTCTACCATATTACGAACACTACTCCTAGCAATGACCTTAACGCCCAAACAATTTTAGGGGTACTGTATTCACGGTCCACTCCGAATGTTTCAGGGCGTCAGAGACAAGATGGACCCGAGGCAGCTTAAGGCGCCAACGTTGCGGCCGTTCACGCAGAATTCCATAAACTCTGCGACGGTGTGCTCTTCGGAGTGGTTGTCATTTGCCTAAGCTGAAGCCTTAACGGCGTTTTCCTTCGATGTGTCGCTCACCAAAACTGAACACAGCCAAGACTACCGGTGGGCTAGGTAGTCATCGTGTCGTGACATTTCAAGGGAGTGCAAAGGACCCGGGCATGAATGAGGCTAGCCTTCTTTTACACGCAGCTGTTGTCATGAAGTATTCAGAAGACTCACTTTGCCTCCATGAGCGAGAGAACCTCGTTGTCCTCGCACAATCGCTCTCCATACCTGGGCATGACATGCAGGACATGGCATCTGTTGGAATGCTTCAAGACAGTACACCATCTGCAATGCAGGCTAAGGAGAAGCACGAAGGACCCGACAGGCAGCCACTAGCTCCAGGTTCCTAGTGCCACCACCCGCTGCTGATCCAAGCTGCTCCTTGCAGTAGTTGCCTGAGAAGTGCAGGGTGCAAACAAACACGCGTGCTTGCGATGGGGCCTGCATCATGCGTGCAGCTGGCGCCTGACAAAGCTGAAGGCAAAGCGGAGGCGCTGTGCTATGGTTTGCAGTACTAAGTCTGCAGCAGTAGATCCGATGAAAAACAAGAGCTACTGAAATACACTGGTGAACAATCTCGGACTTGCTGGACACTTGCACCCACAATTAATGCAGCTTCGCCGCCCTCCTTGAGCTTGATAATCCAAATGCCTGCCGTACACCCAGTGGTAGGGGTTTAGGGACACCTCCAAAGCTAGACATGTGTGGCTGGATCATGCTAGTCAGCTGACCCGCACGAAAATCGAAAGTCCATAACGTGTCTGCGTGCCTATGTACACATATATATATATATATACATATGATATGACACATGCATATTACACAACCGACATATGCTTGAGGGCGGTGCAGGTTAGTTTTCACATGTCTTGGCAAGTCAGGCAAATGCATTTGCAACCATTCACTGTTGCATCGGTCCGGGCCCATCGGGCCCACCGGTTGCATCAAATCAGTTTGACGCATGTTCTGCAATGCTAACACTTAACATACGTAGCATGTTCTGAACCAGAGTTGCATAGAAAGCTTGCAAAGCTCACGAGGACAGGCCTTCTCCGCTCGAGCCACGGTTCTGCTTGATCACCTAAGCGCCCAGTTGCTTCATGGCTCAGGCCTGCTTGACCACCCTCGACCACCCAATACCCAATATAACTCCTATATACTATAATTGTTTCCATGTTATTTTCCACTATCCCAATATAACCCCAATATATCCCCAGTATATACCCTATATAATCCCTATGATCCCTAGTAGTTTCCATGTTCTTTTCCATTCGACCGTGGTTTTGTGACCCAAACATACTCGAGAGCTTGGCATCCACAACTCAGATCATAGTGAGGCCTGTGGAAGCGGCTGCCGAAAGAGAAGCCTGCAACAAACAAGGAGGAGCACAAATACACCTGGGTTTAGGGTTTAGGGGTTAGGGTTTAGGGGTCAGGGCTTAGGGTTTAGGGCTTTGATTGCTGAACCTCACTGTGGGATACCAGGCCATCGGGCTGTCATTTCGGCGTGACGCACCTTGGCTGCAATGAAGCTGCTGGTGGGTGTGCAATGGATCCGGAGAAGTTTCAAGCTTCAAGCCAGGACACCATCAGATACTAGTCTGGGAGTCGTGACCCATTGCTGTACTGGCCCAGCCTGTCCAGAGATAGCTGCGACATGGTGCTATACACACTCACAGACGGTCTGTTTGGTCCCAATGCCTGCTTGCTGATCTGCACCATCTGCTGTTGAGAGATGATCTCTTGATCGACACCTGCAGCAGCAAAGCAAGCCATGGCAAGAATACGTCCTGCCATCATAGTCATGTATGTGGCTTGCGCAAGAGGACGCATTTTCAGTCAAGTCTTTGCTTTCCTCCTTTCAGCATCTTTTCGGTTGCCGTCCACAAACCTGAAGGCAGAGAGTAAAGACGAGGATTGCATCAAGTGACCTCCAACCGACAGAGCAGTTGATATATTGCTAAGCAGCATTTGCATGCACATCGCCTCGGATGCCCACAGTGTGCAAGATTTCTGTGCTAATGCAAGGCTCGTTTGCCATGAATTCATATGAGAAATCTCCTGGGCCCTGGGCAAATGTGTCTCGCTCTTCCTCATCATTGAGTTCAAACGCAATGGCTTGTCCCTCCTCCTAAGCTTTGCTGGCGTCAAGGGCAAGTGCAGCAGTTGGCCGAGGTGTGCGGCTACAAAGGGCCATCAAGGAGCCAGGACCAAGGTCACAGAAAAGCTTGTGACCGGCAACTCGATATCATCAGCAACATCCTCCCCGACGTAGATCCTTGGAAGCATTGCACGAGACATGATATTGAAACATGCTTACAAAACCGCGGAGGCTCAAACAAGCGCAAGCATGTTGACAGGGCCAACGCTCATTACCTGCCTTTGACCCCATCCATTGCAACAAGAAGTGTTTGCTAGAACTCGATGTGAAAGAGTGCGATAGCATCCATAGCCTCTTAGCGATTTGCGAGTCATGCCCGGCTTTGCGTGTGCTATGCCAGTCAGCTGCCTTCTGTTGCAAAAAGTCGGTCCAACAAAGCTGCAGAACAGTCTCTGCTCAATACTTTTCAGGTTGACGAAGCGCTGCTTAGCATCCTCAGCAGGGAGCAGTGAACAAGCGGCATTTCATGACATCCCAAGGCTACCAAGAAGCAGTCTTCCCTGCCAGCTGGATAGAGATGTGGCGAATGTCTCGATCCAACGTCACCAGACATAGCAACGATCGGCCAGTCCTATCATGCTTTACCTTTACCAAGATTTTTCTGCATGGCAACGACAGACTTCCAGGCACAAGATGCGCGGGCACGAAGCTTGTTGCTGCTGAAAGTCGTCGAAAGCATCCTCAACTCCCTGCCTTTTACCATCTTCTGCACAAATCTCTTCACAAGCCTAAGCTGCGCTCATTACTGGAAGCTCTGCTGACAGAACGCACAGATCAGTCAACGAAGAGAGCTGCGGAACATGATTTGATGCAGCCGAGCCATTCCTAACTGCAACCTTGGCTCTTTTGCCCGTCCGAGAGTTCCTTCCGCGGTAAAAACAAAAGCAGGCCCTGCTGCGAAACAACTTGACACAGCAAGTTGGATAGCAGGCTGAAATGCTCCAGATTGCTCCACTACCCTGGGTTGCTGTTGAGGAACTTAATTTAAGCTACTATACTGGGGAAACCATATGAAATTCCTTTAGCCTTAACAGCGACCCAGTACCTTCACCACCATGTCTCCAAACGGAGGTCCTTCTTGTTGGATCCACGCGCCGACTGGGACGAGGCTGCCTTGCCACAGCTTCTAACTTCCAAGTCATGGAGAGATACTTTGATCCCTCATATAATTCTCAATATAATCTCCACCTCTTCAATATCCAACCCCCAATATGTACTAAAGCAATACCCTACACTACTCCCCCAAGACTCCCCTATATAGTCTCCGGGATCTAACCCCCTTTAAAAAGGTTAGATTGTAGCTCATATGGGTGGTTGTCAAAAATTATGGTCCATTTTTGGATCCCTATTCTAATACGGCACCTGGTAGGGTACCCAAAAAGGGACCCAAAATGTTGACAACCACCCATATAACCCCATTACAGTAGCTTCCATTTTATTTTCCATTATCCCAATATTTCCCCAATATACTATAGTAGCTTCCATTTTCTTTTCCATTATCCCAATATAACCCCTACACCCTACACCCTAAACCCTACACCCTACATATTCCCAAAGCATCGTCGCTGCTGATGGCCTCGCCAGCATCGGCCTGATAAGCCTTCAGGAAGCCAGCACTCAAATGGGGGGTTTAGGGTTTCCCCAAATGGGGGGAGGAGGGGGGAGTGACTTTTTTTGGGGGTCCCCATAACAGGGACTGTAGGATTTTGGTGTCTAAATCACCAAACTAGGGGAACATAACCCCAATAATGGAGAATCAAATGGAAGATGGAATGGAAACTGGGTGTGTATAGAGGTTATGTATATAGCAGTTTCCACAAGAAGGGGGACCCCAAGATAGACCCCGAAATATTATGATCCTCATTATGAGGACCACCAGAGAAATACACCTAAAAATGGGAAGCCAGCACTCAAATCGGGACCTCTGAAAAAAACTTGCCTTTTGGCTCCTCAAATGGGTCCCGCATTATCCTCGTATGATCCCTCACGTACCCCTACAGTGTTCATGATTTTGAGAAAACCCAAAGATCTTATCTAATATTTTCCCAATATAGCCCCAATATCCTATAGTAGTTTCCATTACATTTTCCATCATCCAATATCTTATCTGAATGGTTTGGGTCCTCCAGGCCCGTGGGCACTCCCCGAGCGGAGCTCTGGGATGGATATCCTTCAGAGGGGGTCTCGCAGGAGAATTGAAGGTTTAGGGGGGATAGTGGAAGAGGAAACGGAAACTACTGTAGTATAATAGGGTTACTTAGGGATACTGGAAAAGAAAACGGAAGCTACTATAGTACAAGGGGGTATTTAACAGGGAGGGATTATAGGGGGGGTTTGAAGGTTCAGGGAAGCTGAGATGTTTGCTTATTTCTTTAACTATGATTGCTCTTGCCAGTTCCTCGGGTTGCTCTTGGCAGCACATGGACATGTTGTGCGAGTTTGAGCTCGACGCTCCATCTCTGAGACTTTGGTTGCACACAGGATTGACTAGCCTAAAATCTGGAGCCTGCGCACAAAAGTGCAGATTCCTCTCATTGATAGCAGTGCTCTCATAATCGAAGGGACGGCAGCCTGTACTACGAGTTCCAATGCGTTCGGCAACATGAACTCGTTTTCTCGAAATGGACAAGGGATCTCAGCCCACTGTGAAAACCTTTCACATACTCTCAAAAGGCATACATTGGGATCGCTAGGGCAATGTGGAGTCTTCCTTTAAGGATCATGTCAGCGCTGCTTTGAGATCATACGCGTGAAGACGCCTGTATAACCCCTGATTAAATAGAATCCATAAAAATGTACGCTATCATAGTATGGCAGTGTCCTTTGTATTTTCCTTGGCCCCTATAAAATGCATATTCTGATGTTTGTCGAGATTCCCATTGGTGCTGGTGGAACTTTGGCAGGAGCTTTCGCCTTGGCTGGGGTAAATGCAAAATTCATGCGCAAGGGCCCTCGAAATTAGAGCCCCTCTTCAAATCCACATCCTTACTCCCTAGTGTAGGGAGACCCAGAAAATGAATTCCATCATTTTCAAAGCTTGAAATAAGGTCATGTGCTGAAGTTTTGCCAAATGTCGTGGCTAAGCGGCGCCTGCGGCAACGCACCAGGAACCGGCCGCTGACTCGGCTTCAGACGACTTTGCTTCAAACATTTTCGAGGAGAATGGGGAAGAAAATGGAAACTACCATATTATGACTATTGTGATGGGGTACCTATATATGAGGTTACATACTTCGGAGTTCTACTTACTGGTTGGACAGGAAAATTGACACTGCTGCATTAAATGGGACTATGCAGGGGTACTATCATGATCCATTCCTCCGTCTTCTAACAATCCCTAAACTCTAAACCTGCTAGTACCAGTTGTCCAGGATCTTGAGGCTGCTGCGCGGGCGCTGGTGTTGCAGCTTGCTCCTCCTGCCGGGCATTGCTTGTCACGCGGTCCCCTGACTGAGAAGCTCTAAACCATAAACCATAAAGTGTAGCCTAAGTGATCCTAAGTGGCAACTTTGCAAGTTGTTTGCACTAAACAGCTTGCCTTGCGATAGCAGACTAAGATTTGTCTTCCCGACAATTAGGGCCACTACATACCCCCAAGTACTATCGGCCCCAATGTTAAGACTCCCAAGAAGGACCCAAAGTACCCAAAATATGGAAACACCTCTGCAGGACGAGCAAAGCTATGATGCTGTCTGCCGCTGCCCCTGCCTCCGCTTCGGCCCTCCGCTGGTCGACAAACATTCCCAGACAGAGGGCAAACGTGTCGCGAGCCTGTCAGCACAGAAGTGCCGACTGACACCTAAACCCCTAAACCCTATACCCATAACTCTGCTTCTTTCCCCCTTCCGCCCCCCTCCCAGTGCACCCACGTTATGAGCAGTTGTGCAGTTTTGCCCCTAACAGCTGGGTCAGCTGTTCTTTCTCTACAGTATTGCCAGGCATTGCAAAAAGCTTGCAGTTGTAATCATGGGCTTAGGGGGTCTCCAAAATTTGCTGATGCCTTCTCGCACAGAGAACCGTGCTCGGAGCCCGAGCGTGGATTCTAGCAAGCAAAAACGATCCTGCAAGTGCTTTTCAATGCGCTCAAGACCAGTTATGTCCACTACTATGAACAGTAGCAGGACGGGATGATGCAGTAGATATCTCGTGTTCTTGACATGTTCTGTTGCAAAAGAATCGAAGCCTCAAACCTCTCCTTATCAACACCGAGAAAACCCCTCCGAATGCGTCCAAATCCCTCCCCAGCACGCACTAGCTCCCAGAACAAGCAAAATCAACCTCTTGGCGGGGGGTCCCCTAACACACCTCTTATTGCAAGCTATCGCTTGACAAGAAGCTCAGGTATGCTCAGTTAGCCCCGGAGGCTAGCTTTCGCGATGAGCAGGATGGGGATGCTGCCGCTGGTTTCACATGTTCTTTGCGTATTGCTTTGCAACGGAACCGACGCCTAAGCGATAGATATCCTGTGTTCTTGACGATGTGTTTTCTTGCGAAAGAACTGATTCCTCATAAAGACCGAAATCCAAAAAATGGAGCACCGCCAAATCCCTCCTGTGTGCCCCTGGGTGCAATCTAGCTCCAGAAACTGGTCAAGCATGCCCCACACACCCCTTGCTGCAAGCCATCGCTTCACACAAAGAAGCAGCTAGCCCTGGAGGCTAACTTTCGTGATTACGGGTAGAAATTACTCGATGGAGGCTCACCTTGCTGATTATGGTCGAATGGGGATCGTACTCCGTCACCGAAAGCCCATCCCTCGAGCTCCGGGGATCCTTTTGAGGACTTGAATTTCGCTTGGCTAAGCCGGCGAAGGCAATGCAGCTCCCCTACCTTCCTGCGCTGCCCCACGGCATAGGTAGCTGCAACAACTATATGATGGAAACAGCAAGAAGCAGATCAACTCAAGCTTGGTTCTGTGGTACTGTGGCTCTAACATTACTCATTGGACTGATAAGTTAATACTGCCCACGCACTCACTGATCACGACTTTTTGTTGCAGCAATATCCGTCCAAATTATTGATTATCATGTCCGTGGCCTCATCATCGTCAAACCGGAATGCGTAAAGCGTCTGCTCCTTGAAGAAAAATACATCAGGAGTCAAAAGATGCGCATGTGGCTCTCACTCGTCTGCATCCAGCTGCTGAGCGCAAGCTTAAGTCGAGATGTTGGACTTGGCTTGGCATGCGTGAGAGCCTTCTTCTCTCGTGGCATTTTAGTCTTACCCTACGGATTCAGCATCACTCATCCCGCAGCAACCAGTCACCAACAAATTTCTGAGTATGGGTCGCCTGAAAGCACACATGATTAAAGTGGCCGAGCTTCATCATCGAGTCCCAGGACAACACATAGATCGTCCAAGGGCAGGTTGACTTCCTCAGGAAGACTCGCGGGGTTCTGACGTGTTGAACCATTATTACTATAGTGCTATATTACTCTATAGTACTATACTACTAAACTCAAAACTACTATGGTACCAATAGAGTACTATAAACTTCGCAAAGCCGAGCTTCTTCAACGTTCTCCGCGCCCACCGAAATCCTGGCGGGCCGAGAGTCAAGCCACGAGCAAAAGATGGCTAGGCTAAAGAATGCGAGGCACCGTCGCTCCATGCAGAATATTAGGGTTATATCGGGATTCTACTGGGATAGTGGAAAAGAAAATGGAAACTACTACAATGGGGTTATATAGGGATTTTATTAGGGTTATATTGGGGTCATATTGGGATAATGCAAAAGAAAATGGAAACTACTATAATGGGGTTATATAGGGATTATATTCGGGCTATATTGGGGTTATATTGGGATAATGGAAAAGAAAATGGAAACTACTATAGTATATTAGGGTTATATTGGGGTTATACAAGGGGGTTATATAGGGGCTATATATAGCGCCTAATATATGGGGTTATGCAGGGGTTATAATGCATTTACAGTATATTGTAGTATATTAGGGTACATTATAATAAGTACATAATAATGGAAGACCTACCTCAGAAATCCAGAAATCGCTGCATCGTTTCTGAAGCACTTACAAGCGCTGTGCGCGCCAGGCGCAACCAATCAAGCTGAAAGTAACAATCAGAGTAGCAACAAAGTAACAACTGTAAAGATAGTAATAGTGAGAAGAGCATTAAGTTATTGTACTAAGTTACCGACAACGATAGCAATTTCAATTACAACGTCTATAACCCCAATATAACCCCGACATAATTACAGTAGTTTCCATTTTCTTCTCCATGATCCCTAACCCCCATATAACCCTACTAGAATCCCTATATAGCCCTTAGTAGTAGTTTCCATGTTCCTTTCCATGCTCCTAATTTAACCCCACTATACTACAGTAGTTTCTACCAATTTACAGTACCAACTGATCAGCTCCTACTATAGTACCAATTTACAGTACCAACTCATTGCTTCCATTTTCTCTTCTACTATCCCAATAAAACCCCAATATAACCCCAATGAGATCCAATATAACCACAATAATATAGTAGTTTCCATTTTCTTTTCCATTATAATAGTTTCCATTTTCTTTCCATTATAGTAGTTTCCATTTTCTTTTCCATTATTTCAAAAAAAAACAACTGTACCAATTTGTAGTACCAACTGATCAGCTCCAAGCTGCTGAGAAATGGTTTCCAAAGGCACGCGCCGAGCTCGTCCCGATTGTGGACGAACCGACCTTGACTGACTAACCATGCGCGCATAACAACCTCTTGCATTTCTACAGAATAAGCAGCAAAAATGACAAATGATAGTTCTGTCAGTGTTGCTATTCTGTTTGTTCTTGCTGTGAATATCTTTCTGCTGCTGTTGCTACCGGTACAGTACTGTTATTACTATTACGCCATCAGTACTGTTCTGGCAGATCTCACCCTCATGCTCCCAGAACGCTGCTCTTTTCCTTCTACACCCGCGAAGCAACGCTGCATGAGTGGTGCCGCGAAAGCCATATAAGTTTACATCAAAAACGTCAGCGCCAACGCCCAGAAAAGGAGGTTTCTACGCAGAATCTGGCGTGGTCGGAAATCTGACGTACCATCTTTGCAACACCCAAGTTGCAGGGCAGTCCGCGCACGATCCATCCTGAGAGCTGCAGAGGGGTGAAAACCAGCTTGTACAAGAACATGCAAGAACTACTCAAGAATCTTCTTTGGAAGTCAACGGCCAGAGGCGCATCTCGCACGGATCTGCAGGCTTGGCCCCGAATTCGGTCAATCCTTTTTTAAAAACCTGCAAACAAACTGCTTCAGCACCAAGTGTCTGCACACTGCAGGACTCCATCCCGCTCGAGGACAGCATTGGAAGGGTTCTTCCCGCCGCAAGGCCATCCTTTGACAAAAGAGATTGCAAATTTTCCAGCAAAAGTATCATTCAAGCTTTATAGGTCCGATACCCAAGTCGCCGGCACCACAACAACATGAGTAGGATGACTTTACTGCATTGCCGAGCGCATCGCCGCTCACCTTGCTCATCCTACTCTAGTCATGGAATGCCGTCAAGCTGCCACAAACGCATTGATGATCTGCTGCGCTGCATCCTCCGCCATGTTAGCAGAGGAAAGCGCGTCCTAGAGCACTCTGCAAACCTAGAACTGAGCTGGCACATCAAGCATGTTGCCAAAGGCGGTGCTGCTACTTGGCTTGGAAATTAAGGCTGAAGTCATGTTCATCCAGTGCACTCAGTGGTCTTGCTTAAGTCTTGAGCATAGAAAATGGCAATGGCTGTCACGCAGCACCCTGCGGTCCAGCGGAGGCACGCGCACAGCCAAAAAATCAGCACCCCCCGGATCATCACGCCAAACATAGCATGAGCCATTTGCACTCCGTTCCATTCAACAGCGGCATGCACTCGAGCCTTCGAAGCTCATGTTCAGGAACATAGCTTCGGTGTGCCACGCCTTTGTTTACTATCTGAAAATCATGCAGGCTTACGTTGAACATGGCATCTTCTCATTGCAGCTGCATCCTTGTGATCTTCCTGCGTAAGAACTGACAAGCGCATATCTTGCCTCGCAACTGAATAGATACGCTCCCTCTCACACACTTGGCATCCAGCAGGAAAACTTTGCGGAGGTACGCCAAGATCTGCGCAGCCCTGTGCATGATGCTGTAACATAGTTGTGCTTGTTGCGGGTATCGCTCTGTATTGCTCAAACTCCAACTCCAATACTCTAATATTAGTTACTAGTTTGGCCAGTCCTGTCCTGTGTTCCAAGCAAGTAGCAGTCTGCGGCGTTGGACTGAAGCACCAGCTGTCTTCCTCCCTCTTCCACTTGGTGGTAGATATGTAGACCTGCCTCTCGGTCGGAGAATGTCATGTCAAACGAGCGCAAGAACGGCTTCAAGAGCATGGACGGCGCAAGGGCGCTCTCAATGGCCGCGTAGTCATAGTTTGTTTTGATGAGCTCCGAGGAGATGGAGGCAATGAGGGCTTCCTTGGCCTCGATGGCAGCTTGGAGAACAGCCGTTGTTTCGGCAGCTGCCCATCGCGCGCTGCCATGATGGAGATACCAGGACTGATTGTCTGACACAATACCCATATAACGAACAAAGAAAACAGCTGATATAACCGATGCGGCAACTATCCAAAGCACCATCCACGCAGCAAAAAGCAGACTGCCAATCTGCACCACATCGAATCCTTGCTGCTTTGGCTTTGAACCTGCTTCTGACTTCTGCTTCTTGACCTTGTCAATCGTGGCCCTGCCTGCCTGCTGAAATTTGGTCAAAGCGATGGACTTTCGTTGTCCAGATTCCATGTTTTACAGGCAGTGCCACGGGCCGAAGCCAGATTCACATCCTACAGTTTTCGGCCTGCGGCGAACATGGCTTCAACTGGGGGATCTAAAGAGTCCATCCCAGGTCTGAACACAGCGAAAAAGCAAAAAAAGCTTGACTATGTAAGGGCATCAAAGGATAAACCTCAAACATAGAGAGCCTGCTTGCTGGATGTTGTTTTCTGTGCCGGCAGTACATGGATGTTTCACAAGCATTTCTGTCTACCTATCCTATCATTGCAGCTTGCGTTTGGAAGCTGATGTGGCGACAGTTGCAAATGATCAGAAGCGCTTGATGGACGAACTATCAGCGGCTGCTTATGCCTCTGGTACAGTGCACACTAGGACATTGGGGATGCTGTCGTTCTGCTACTAAAAGGTATTGAAACTGCGCTGGTGGAGGCTGCGTCTTTTTCTGTTTTCATCGCGGTTGCGCTTCAGTCAGGTCTCCCCAGGGCAGTCAGTGTGCAGAAGATCCTGGAGGCCATCGGGCGCGTGCACTTGATGAAAGGCATTCATCCACATCTCCAGCAGCCTACCTTAGCCCAAACTATGCTTGTGGGCACATGCCCGGCAACAAAGATGTTTTTTCCTATCACAAGTCTGCTATGCAGTCAAATACGTCACCGCTTGCAAGGTCGGCTCCATTTCCTACTCCTGTTTAGGGGCCCCTTACGTTCACAGCCTCTGCACTCCCAATGCCTCCCACCAGCAACAAAGAATGAAACTCAAGTTCGCATTTCTTCCCAGATGCCTTGGAGTGACCCCTTCTGGTGGGTTGACGAATCCGATCTGACCAGGCAGCCTGACATCCATGGCTTGCGAGCGCCACCCCAGTCGCCACTGAAATGGAGGGAGGCCTCAGCTGATGAAATGGAGGCTGGTCAAAGGTACGTTGAATGATGTTGAATGTCCGCGTTCCGCTAGGTGTTTGTGGATCCCCATCTTAGAGGCAATGACAGGCTGCTTAGGCGTGTTTTCAGCCATCTTCTGCTGGCCAAGTTGCAACTTCGTCTGCATCGAGCTCTTGCGACTTAACGTCCCTCGTAAACTTGTTGTAAACGTCGTCCATTTTTCCTTGCCAGCAGCCTACATGCGTTCCTTCCTCACAGGGTGGGAAGGCATGGTTGAGGAACTGCTGAATGCCACCATTGCTGAATTCAGGTGTTTCTGCATTCTTTAGTAGCCGCCGTAGCTGCTGGAATTTCTTCTCCGAGGGCTCCAGCACAAACATGCCACCGTTGAACTGACTTGCCAGCCCGGAATCCTGTCGAGCGCTAAGTTCGCTGAATGTATCAAGGACTGGGTCATGAGTCTTCAGTGCAATCATGTCCGCGTCCATGTACAACACCTTCTTATACGGCAGCTGCCAAGCGCGTAGCTGAAGCGTTACACAGTCAGCACCCGCACGTGTTATGCTCTGATGTGGCGTAACTGGCTCCTCAACATAGACCTTGTCAAACACAGATGCGAAAAGCTTTTCGTAGCGTCGGCCAACTGTGTCGGTGACCATTAGAACCAGGTTCCGGGAAGTTCCCGCTGCTTTCAGTGACGCGCCCAGCGCCAAAGCCCCTGGCGCCCAATCTTTTCCGCAAACATGCGTGACTATCGCCTGATCAGTTGATTTGTTCTGTGCACCAGAGAGGAGCGTCAACTGGTACAGATCGACAACAGCATCAGAGTCTGCCTCCGTACTGAAATCGAAGTCATGCCGCATGTATCTCCGCTGCACCAAGGCCCCTGATGCCGACACCTCCGCAGCCATGCTCTGCGGACGGGCCAGCTCAGCCCGAGGAAGACCAACATCAACTCCCAGTGCCCTGGACCAGGAAATATGGAGCAATGCCAGTGGGCTCCGCAACCATCTCTGGTACATACGCAGAGGGGAAGGTTAAGAAATCGACCCGCTCCGGTCGACTGGCCCTGCTACTCTAACATCTTGAGACCTGATGGTCTACAAAGACTAGGTCAAGGCCAGCCATTTCACAACTTGTGGCTCCATGCAGTGCTTACTTACACCTGCCTCCACTGCCGTCATTGTGCTTTTGCATGGGGTTGAACCAGGGAGTCATCTCATCAAAGAACAATACTATATCATAGAATATTTCTTCCCATCAGATACTATACATTCAATACTATACCCATGAGGGAAATATGGTATTGCTTTGGCCTATTCCATGCAGTGGGCCTATTTCGAATACCATTCCGATTCAACCCATAGATCCCTCCAACTTTTTGGCAGCAGAAACCTGGGAGATCTTTTTACAACATGGCTGCTGCGCTTGGGGCGCAAGCTGAGCTCCACAAGCCTCTACGTTGTCTCCGCGCGTTCGAGCTGTCTGTGGACGGTCTGGAAGCTGGTGTCCCGCTGGTGTCCCGCTGGTGTCCGACTGGTGTCCACATTGTCGGGATGGGCGACGCCCGCATCGCCAAGTCCTGCTGCACCAAGTTGACAGCCGTACTCAGCCATCCATGATCTTGCAGAACTCCTGGTGAGATCTGGTCAGATGATGCAAGCACATTTCAGCTCAAGATGTATTCAATGCCAATGGTATTTGCGCAGCGCTCCCTGAAGTTCATCTTACCATCGCCATCTTTGTCGATTCGGCCAAGCACTTTCTTGACCTTGAGACAGATCCCAATCAACTCCCTTCCAACATCTTCCAACTGATTGGACGTGGATGACCTAGGTTCGCATTGCTCAGCTATTGGCTTCTTCAGGCTCCATGGGATCCGGGCCTTTCGTGCTGAGAGCCACAATCCTTGGCACATCCCATCTCCCAGCTTTCAGCACGTGGACTGCACCACAGAAAGGCTGACGTGGGCATTTCCAAAAATGTGAGTCCTCCTTTTATACCCCTGTATGCTATAATCCTTATTCTGTGGACTCCCAAAATAGCGACCGATTGCCGAACTCGTGGAAATCCCGAAAAGACTTGGCATCCAGCAGCTCGCGCGAGCTGATGAATCCGCTGCCGTCAACTGCGCAAGGGGCGGAAGGTCTCGAAGTTCAAGTCAAGCCGGGCTCTAATATTGAGGAGGCATGCGCTGCTGATAAGTTTGTCTTGAGAACTGAGGCTTCTGCGAAACAAGAACTCAGGCTTCTCTCCTTCAGAAACTCAGGCTTCGACGGTCGATAGCCTCAAACCTGGGAAGCAGTGCGCAAACCTACCTGAAATCACTCAAGCACTTCCTGCAGCCAAAAGGCAGCTCGCGCATGTCGCGCTCGTACTCCTGCGAGCACTTCAGCCAGTTAAGATCTTAGACGTCAAACGCATACGGCCATTCGTACATGTTGCAGCAGGTTACTCCCGTCACAGCCCTGCATCAAGAACAAACCCGCAAGCAACACCACCTGCCAGACAGTCTGTTGCGAGTCCTCGGGCGTTGGAGTTGGAGTCATGGCAATCCTGGCGGAAACGCAGACAAGCAGCCCAGTGCTGCAAACTTGTCTACCATGTCATGTAGTTTTCAGTTGCGGCTTGGCCGAGCGTTGCAGCCTTGCAAGAGGTATTTTTCAAAAGGCATCGCAAACTGACTTTGCTATGCAGGACAGAATCTGGATCTTACAAAACGGCTTCCCCAGTTCTCTGCCCGGCTGCCGGACCATGCAAGCAAGCAACATTGAGGCGCGATACTGCAAAAACATGAGGGCTTGATTATGCTTGTAGGTGTTGGGGGAGTGCGACTCTTGAGCCGGTCAGTTTTCACTTGGCACCATGCCACGCAGAATCAGGAACATCCCAGCCAGCAGCACACTTGCGCCACGATGATCATGAACTCCTCAAAGTCAAGGTCGCCACTTCCATCAGAGTCTGCCTGTGGCACGAAGTTGTAGCACTTCAGGTTGGAATGACGGGGGCGAGTTGCGCCACATGGTGCCAACATGTGCCAACAATCAACCCCTGCTTGGAGATTGAAGAACCGTAAGCAAGTCTAAGATAGTCTAAGCGCACAGCCCGCCACAGCATGTGCGGTCAACAACAGAAGGCTGCTTTGCTCTTACATGCTTGGCGGGTGTCAGATGACCTAAGGGTCGAGGGACATGACCATGCTTCACGACAAGGGGAAGTCTTTCTGGCATGAACAAAAGAGGGAGGTACAAGAGGGTAGAACAGCTTGTATGCGCATTCTGAAGGCTTCACACAGTGCAAAGCTGACCTGCAGTGAGATCACATGCAGTCATGACCAGCCTGCTTGATGATGGTATTGAGATCCGACTGGCACAGTTGATTTGCACGCTGTATGGACGTGATCCTAGTAAGTTCTAGCCTGGCCTTGGATGGGTTCAATCCCACCGCTCGGACGAGATTGCTGATGTTTTTGCGCGTCAAAGCCTGTTCGGTCTGAAGGAGCTTTATGCAAGCCTTGTGGGGACATTGGGTTTGGCTCCGGCTAAGATTGCAGATTCCAGCCCCTCAATGTGGCCTGAAGCCACTTCAGTACTTTGAGACTGGTTCTTTCAATGGAGCAGAATTCGAGCGGGCGCAGCTATACGAATGATTGGCGTTGTGCGTCGGCCGACCCCTTCAACGCAGGAAAGAAGCTATGCAAATGGCCCACAAGCTGAGGATCTGAAGCCCTCATAACATGCGGTCAAAAGGGGCACATAGGAGGATGGAAAAGAGAATGAAGTAGTGCCAAGTTGCTATACTATCAGGCCCTGGTCTCGCACCTGCCTCTAGAGCCCGATGCCTTAAGGATTTAGGAAAATTTAGGGAGTTTGGGGTCTCTCTCTAGTTAAATGCAGGTATATTAGGAATTTGCTGGAATTTGGTGTATTTAGAGAGTTGAGGGCTTAGGGCCTGTGGAAGTTGGCAGGTCCACAGACATTGTACCTCACGGTCACCGGTTGCTGTGGCCGGAGGAGTCTTGTCCAAACTGACTTGGGGAATACAGCCCAAGTAAGTTGCAGCGCGATCTCAACACCAGCTGTGCACGCAGCATCACAAAAGATGAGCACTACGTCAGAGACTCGGATCTGAGGCAACGACTCCATCCAGGTCTTCCATGTACTCATCGAAGACCTGATTGTGCTTCGGCAAAGACCGCTGATCCAGAGATGCTGCGCAACCTCTACCTGCTTGAACTCCACAACCTGCTCCGCTGTCAGGTTCAGCTCCTCGAACGGAACTCTTTTCTGCGCACAGCTCAACTCTGCAGTTCTACGGTATAGACGTGTCTACGTTGAACAGAGCCGAAAGGAGAACCAAATAATGCCCCACGTAGAAGACAATATAAGACAATGATCTGGATGTCTTGGGTGTTTACTTCTCGGCTCGTCACAAAACGCCATGGCGCCTTGATGCCTCCAAGCTGCTCTGGCATAGTAGGAGACCTCATCCTCTGAGAGCGGCTCTGGGCTCGATGGCATGTCACCAAGTTGGCTCTCGACTTGAAACTCTTGGGCTGGGCTAATACTGGAGTTAGGCAGCTTCTTTACACCGTACAGACCCGCAGCAGCCCAGGAGCTAGTCGGTTGTGCAGGGCTTGGTGGTCGCTTGATTTCCATGTCACTGTCTCAGCATTGCATCTAGAAGCCTGCAGCGAACAAGCTCTCCCATCAGCGAGTTGGGCTCATACGCTCATGTTGCAAGAGGCGTATGCAAGCATGGCGGATGCGGACACCTTCTTCACCAGCCTCGTTGCATGAGCTGGTGGTGAAGATGAGCGGAAATAAGGGAAACGCTACAAGACCGACCGTGACTGGCACACAGCTGGTCGGGCTCAAGCACGCCGCATTCCACAGGCAATGCGACGTTTTCTAAGCTGTGGCTGCCCAGCATTGAAAGCCAGGCTTGCTCCACGAGTGCATTATCGGGGTCGCTTCTTGAGGCGACAACTGGCACTTGAACACGGACTACTGATTACCAAGACTCTGAACTTATCTGACTCTTGAGCATCCGTGGGAGTTGACACGGCCCACGGGGTCTCACTTGTCACTTGTCAGGTAAGGCGAAGCGCTCTGCCTCCTCGTCCTGCGGGTGAGCACTGGATAAGGGACAGTGCCTGCACCCAACCTTTGCCTACTCACAGCTCAAGCGTTGTTGGGCAATATGCTTTGCATCATCCACCCGCAGAACAAGATAGTTAGCAGCATCTGACTAGCTCTGTTGAGTGTCTTGGTGCAAGTCCTTTTTTCCGTAGTTGGGATCCAGCATCTCCTGTCAAAAGGCAAGATCACGCTCAGGCAGGTCATACTCAATGAAGCAAAACCGAGTGCATTCGGATCTCACAATCCTGGGTCAAGACGAACACGTTCTTCATGACCAAGTCCTGAGCCAAGGGGGCAAGATTTTTGAAACCCAGTGGCTTCAGACGTGGAATCCCGTCCCTCGCCCGAAATTTTGAGCTTCATCGCTTGCAGTAAACCGCAAGACTACATAGTTCACCCAAGCTGAAGCAGAATTCTGCGAAACCATCTTGCATCTTGAGCCGCAGTGTAAGTTGCGTCTAGAGCCTCAAAGTCTGGACTGTGCCAGAGCCTTTATGGAGAAATGCTGGCTATGGCTGAAAACCTTGGGACTGGATTTCTGGCACCCCCCCGAAAACCCTCCTGCCACTGGGTCTGGCCGCGAAACACCGCCAAATTTAACTATTTTCGGTGGTTTCCCCTCTCCCACAAACCCCTGAGTACAGATCAGCAAAGGCTGGCTCAGACGAAAGCTAAGAGAAGCTTTCGTAAGTTGCTCAAAAAGCGACGTTCAGCTCACCATGCAGGGGTTGCAGGGCAGGGCACTAGATGAGCAACCTCTCGTAATGTAGGGACGATGACTGGCATTCCTAAACTCAACGGACATTTCAGCCAGAATTGTCTTACGCCTTAAATGCCTTAAGCAACTTTGGCAAACCGCAGTCTCTGCATGGCGTGAAAGCCTTCAAGCTTCTACATTATGATCCCATGTCATTTGAATGGACCAATTGCATCTCCACAGAGCTTGTAAAGTGCCACCTCGCGCAATGCAGATGTCCGGCCTCTCTGTCACGCCCACCACCGTACCATTCTGGCGGATTTTCAAGTCTCGCTGGCCTTGAATCTCTGTGCCCAATGGGACATACACTGGTGCCTCACCGATCTAGCTGGGAATCCGGGCTTGTCATCACTCTGCCACGGAATCAGGCCCATGAGGCGCATGTGCCTGCAATACGGCATGCCTCCCTTTCTGCTGTCTTCTCCAAAGCCTGTCGAGACAGACGGAGGCCTCTCGAACACACGCTGAGATCCGGCGGCCAGGTACTCTTGATGCGCCTAAGGCTGAATTCAATCAAAAGCTCCACATCGTTGGCATCGCTCAGATTCGAATCCGCATGTCATCAGACACGCGTCGCATAGGTCAGCACAAGCTACTGAACCTCCCCTGGAGGTTCACAACTAATTCGCAACAAAACACACTGCATCTTTGCCAAGGCTGCTGCGTCTGGGGAGTCAAATCTCTCCCACCAGACATGTTTGGGCAATCCCTGAGAGAGCTCCAAGTAGACCATGACGTGGTCTCCTTCACTTGGAAAATTGCACCCGAACTTGTGTGAATGCCCAAGTTATGCTGAACTCGAGCAAGGAAACAGTGAGCATGTACTTTGCTGATTGAGGACGGCCACGTGTTCTACCCGAACTCACGCGAGACAAGTGTGTCCCTCTTGATCAGCAGTCTAGAGTCCTAGAGTCTTTCACGCGGCTCTAGCCTGCGTCAAGCCGATCTGAGTCTGAGATGCCCATGGCCCAGTACTTTCCTGAACCTGGCATGCGCTGCGGAGTTGTGGAATGAAGTTTGCAAGATTTAGCAATAGTCATTGTCAGCCTGCATCATCTGGACCCATAAGGTCATAGCCATCCTGGGCGGTCCAGATGCCACTTTGCTTAAACCAGCAACTCAGCTTCGATCACCCCTGCGTAGAACCTGCAAGGATTCAGTCACAAAATCATTCAAGTACCCTCGAGGGTATAGCTCCACGGGCCAAGCTAGGTGGCCGACAGGAGTCGTTTCGTCAGCGGCAGGGTGCACTGCTGCCTGAGTTGCGACTGCTGTCCGATCTGCAAGTCCACATCTGGCTCTTTGAGCACTTGAGGCGCCCACCAGGAAATTGCAATTCAACAGGATCTGGAACTTTTCGGTGCGAGTCTTGCCGATGGTCACTTCCTGAATCAATATTTGGACTTTGGCGTGATCCAGTCAGGTATAAATAGCAGGCAAGTCTTGTTCCAGGAGCTCCTGCTTGAGGACGCATCTCCCATCAGCGCGCTCAGTGTCTCTGAACATTTCCTGGACACGCCACATGTGAATCTTGCACGGAGGAAATCCTCCCAGGCATCCGTGCTATATGAAATCCAGTGGATCTGTCTCCAAAGCACTAAAGGCCCGAAAAAAAAGTGATTCACAGCGCACCTTGCACTCGCGAAACTGGTTCCAAGAGCCAACCTGGGAAAGCCACAACAAACATAGCCAGTCTTTGGCATAAAGTCGCTCTCAAGTTCCTGGCTGGCTAGGATGGGGCCCACGTGGGATTAGCATGTTTCTTCAAATTGGGAACAGTGGCAATCTCAGGCTTCGTGATGCGTACTCTGAAGTGAGTGTTAAGGAATGCCGCCAAACAAAGCGTACACTGCAGTGTTGCCCGACGTGCCTAGAATGGCAAAAATGTCATGGCATACTATACACTGCTCCTGGCATGTCTTAGCAGGACGAAGGGACTGCAACTGACATCGAAAGCAACCTTTCGGAGCTTAAGCAAAGCAAACCTTCAAGATTGCAAATGTGACACCCCATGTGACAACACCAACACCAGTGAAACAGGGCTCCTGAAGCTAAGCGTTAAAAGACAGTTTGCTCTCAACAGCTGATCAAAGTGCTTCGATATCCAGATTGCTTCTGCATATGGACTTAACACATCAGCACGGGGGACCAACTATTATTTCGACCGCTGTCCTGCAGGTGATGTGGAAGATGCGAAGGATCCCTGCACTTACACAAAAGCGCAGCTCAACTGCGTGCAGCCAAAACACCAAGTAGTACTTGTGCGACTTGGCTCTCTCCTGCCAATCCACACAGGGTGACGCTGAGCAGCAACTCTTGTTGATCGTTCTGTGTTGTGGAAATGCAAGGGGTCAAACACGGAACTCGAACCGAGCGAATTCCTCGAAGTCGACGTTTTCATGGCCAACGTGCTCCCAACCTCAGGTCCAGCACACTTCTGTGGCATTGACACGTCGCACTTCAAGGAAGGTCGAGCAAATGAAAGAAAGCTTGCTGGCGGTAACTTCGAGTTCCGTTTGCCCACTGGCTGGCATTCAAGAAGGCCTGAGTTTGAACGTACTGCGGAGTCTCTCTTCATCTCTTTGGGCTGAAGCTCAGCTCTCTGATGCAAGAAGTGGTAAGCCTTGGAAAGAAAACGCCTCAAATGAATGCGGCCTGTCAAGCATGACATTTTCAGTCTTGATATTCTTCATTCTGGGAAGGGACCTTCGACCTCAGTGCTCAATTTCCTGGAGCATAAGAAGCCTGCTTCCTGTCATTTCCTGTCCATCAGAACTTCTGTCCATCAGAACGCGTCTCCTAAACTGCTAGACCCATACCGCCAAGAGGAGCCCTTGTCTGAGCCAGCGGCTAATGCTTCGGGTCTCCTGGCCAAGTCTAAGGATGTGACCCAGCCATCCTTTGCAAGCGGCGGTGCCTTACCACGGCGGACGTATCGAGTGAAGGTGATCCTGAAGATATCACCAACCTCGGCACCAGCTGAGTTCGGCGAAACATCCAAATTCAAGTTCAAAGCCTGAGGCCTGAGTGCCTGAGAGCCTGAGGCTTCAGCCTTTCCTTGGAGAATCCAGTTCTGGCCCTGGCCAAACTCGTCGGGGCCTGCGCTTCACGCTGGCAGAGAACCACAGAATCTTGGCACCGCATCAAATATCAGCCCACTGCTGGGGGCCTAGAATCTCCGCATCTGCTGCTCCTGCAGGTACCTGAGCCACGCTCACTGTGTTCAAGTTGAGCCTCTTGGGTACGGAAGCTCTTGCCGCTCCACTGCTGGTTGCGCACTGTTGTTGAAGCTTGATGCAAGGTTTGCCAGAATCCCAAGTGATCGTCAGTCAAACTCTGTCCAGGACGGCTAGCTAGCTCATGGAATGCTGCGATGAAATCTGTGCCGCAAGCAGCTTGTGTGAAACCTGGGTGGTCGTGGATTTCAAGGTACTGCTGCCATTCAGTTCCAGCTTGGTATTCTTGCTTTCTTGACGCCAGCCCGGCCGAAGAAGGATTTTATAGTGCGCACTTGCGCTGACTAGATGCAAGAGATGAATGAAAGAGACCGCCACCTCTGTTGATTTCATCCCCTGACCAGCTTCTCAATCAAACGCTGTGCTGCCGCCATCCTGACTCAGGAAGGTCTCTTGGCTGCTGTCCCCCTTGACACCATTCATTTGTGGCAGGTATCCGGCAGTGGGAAATCTTGCTTGCGGCTGGTCTGCGATGTCCTGTCCATACATGTTGCCCGCACCCTCAGTACAACTCTGCAAGATATATCACCCATTCTTCCGCCTGCATGAATGAATAAAAAATCATGTGGGTCTCATCTGCAGCCACCAAGTACAAAACTTATCTAGCCAGCGACCATCAGATCGCACCAGCCGGCGGCTGACTCTTGTTAGCCGTGCTTGGTCCAAAGTCTCGCATGATCTCGCATTCCTTACGTAGTCATAACGTCGAAAGCTTTGCTGTCCCTTCCCTTAGAGCTGGCTGCTGCTACATACTCGTCATGCCTGCGCTGCCGGGTAGAAGCCCTGCTCGAAGTCACCTGCCACGTCACTGCTATGGATGGTATTACTGACAGCGGGCAAGAGGAGCTCAGGAGCATGGATTGCCTTGATCTTCAACCTGCTTTCGGATCTACCCGGACATGCTCGATGCTAACATCAGAATATCCTCACAACATCTGCACGCGTGGTGCCCAGAATGGAAGAATGCTGTTGCAAACCTGGACCCCTTCGGAACCTTCTTATGTGCTGCTTGGTTTGTCCGTGAGAATGGGGGAGCACAGTCTCTTCCCGGCTTTTTGAAGGGCCGAAGTCCACTTCTTAGAAGGCATGCATGGCGCACGAAAAGTTAACAGCTTTACTACTTTGTTCTGAAAGACGGGAAGGGAGTACGGTCTCTGTAGATCTGGAAGCCGCTGCAGGCCTTCAAGATCTGCACCTCCGTGCCAGGTGCTCTGTTGACATCCAGAATCAGAATAAGCCGCTGCAGAGCTGCAGATGGCCTCTGCCGTGTAAACTCCTTTCTCTGACGGCTTCTCCTGTCACAGAACTTGCGCAGAGCTGGCAGGAAACCTCAAGGATGCTTAAACATCCGCAAAGTGTCTGCAAGTCTCCGACCACGTACGATCCAAGGATGCAAGCTTGAGTAAATTCTTAAAAATGCCTTGGACAAAGCTTTGTTGACCAGCTGAAACAGAAGGCCCGTGAAGAGCCGACAGTGGTTCAGGCTCTAACCTGTAAAGCTGAAGGCCATCCTCAAGGGTATCATAACAGATGCAGCTCTTCCTTTGAAGGGTCAGAGCTGTCCAACTTCGGTCATAGTTTTGGCTTCTGGGCCACTTGCGACAAAATGCCTAAAGCATTTGTAAAAGTGTCACGCTCCTCCAAATTTGGAAGCAAAAGACAAACTTCAGACAGGCACGCGGTCTTGACCGTGACTGACAGATTCGGCTCCGCATTCGCCACTACGTCAAGGATGTCGCACAGTTCTGTGACTATGGGACCAGTCTTGTCTCCAACATCAACAGTCAACCTATCAACCCTCTTGTTCAGGCAGACCTGGGCATCCACTATTTCGCCAGAATCCGCTCGAATTGCTTGAAGCCGCCGACCCTGAACCATGGTCTTAACAAAATCCTTCACCATGTTCTTTGCCTCTGTCTTTTGCAGCTTGGACATTTCATCATATTGCCATGTGTCAAACTTGGCAGTGTCCCAGGTTTCCGGATTGACCTCATTTGCTACGCTTCCAACTTCCTTGTCGCGCAGGGTGTTGATGGCCTTGGCGATCTTGACCCTGTCTAAAGCCGAGGAAAAGCCCAACTCCTGCAGGGCCTTGGAGAAGTCCGCGGACCGCGTCTCCGGCAAATCCTTCAAACGCAGATGCTCGTCCTGGTCACGCCAGATCAGTCGTGGAAGTTGAGGTGAATAAGAAAGCAATCACGCATCTTGCCAGACTTTTTGATCATGCGCATACACAGGCCTTCAGTGACAACCGGACTCTCTCCAGGAGCTCAGCTGTGGAGTTGCCTTGCTCTGGCAAAGGCGGAAGGGCCTGGCGCTCTTCCTGGGCACACACTCGCCCTTGCGGCTGACTTATGACGCTAGCTTGTACGATCTGAGGCGCAGACTTTGCCAGCTGGCTCCAGGCTGCAGCATGGACCCATGAAATCATGTCCAACTTGCTGATGTACTGAATCTTACGGCATGCTTTGTTCAGTTGGCTTTGCGCAATTCACTGTTGAACTCTCTGCCAGGCCAGACTGTACGCGTAATGTTGCTAGGCTTCGTTGCCTCTTAGCTTGCTTTCTTGTCGAAAAAAATGCCTGCGGGAGCAACTTGCCCGAGAAGCAACACTTCGACCCGTTCAGCCCATCAATGAAGACCCCCATCACTGCAGTTCGCTTTGCCGCCTGCATGTCCTCAAAGGTCCAGTAGCTGTGGTCACCTTGTGGGGTACTGGACCCTCGGTGAAAACGTTCGTCCGATACACCGTGCACTTGGGTAGCCGCCAATGATCGCGAACTTGTGCGCGAATCGCCTCATGGACTCAACGGCCCAGGGCCGGCATCTCCATCACAAGGCACGCATGAGTTGACAGTGTGCAGAATCCGCAAGATTGTTCAGGTCAGATTGTCGCGGCCTCTGGGGATTGGGAAATTGAATTGCGTCAGCACCCTTGGCTTTGCTCCACTCAAGGCGCCTGTACCTGAGGTGGCCACACCTATTGAGCTTATGATAGACAAGCAAAGTTGGGATGGGCTCACTTCCCCTGGATGTGCAGGCGTATCCGGTACCTGGGTGGAGAGTTACAGTTTCCAGACTGTTCCTCAGATTTCACCAATCAGCTCCAGACTTGTCACCGGGCTTGCCTTCGAACCCAGCATTTAGGTTTGCCACCTGTCAACAGAAGTCATGCCCTCCAACCATACAAGAGAACTGGATATCCAGCCACTTCACTGTCCTTTTTTGTTGGAGGGCTAGTATGGGCTAGTCTCCTGTTAAGGTCATGGCTGGCATTTGACCGATGTCGTTTGGGTCCGTAACATCTTCGGGTACCTTACATCGACGCAGCAAAGACTTAGGCATTGTACGATGACACAAGTTCGCCACAAATCTGCGGGCAGCCAAGTCACGTAGCCGCCACCGAAGGCAACAATGTAATCCATGGAGTCCTTTGCAACATGAATCATGCATATGTACATATATATATATATCTATATGTGTGTGTGTGCCAGGATCAGGCCCCAAGAATTTAAGGAAATCCTGGAGTCTGCCAGCAAGACAACGCGCAACCATCACGGTGGGGTCATCTTCAACAGCAGCGTTCTCTGCAACACAGCAATGAAAGCCCTGATGCACCAGCGTCACTGAAGAGAAAAACCTAACGATAAGATCAAATAAGTCGCACCTCCTAGCGATGTGGTCTCTGACGCTCAAATTGGAAGGTGTGAGAAGCCAAAATGGAGGGCCAGGCCCCACTTTGACTAAGCAGTTTCAGAGTCATAGAAGCGTCGCCATGACCGAAAGTAAAGTTTTCACAAGACATCCTCAACCCATCTGACGCATCCGTCACATGTGTTCCAAAGGCGGCCTGTGCGTCAAGCTGCTTGTGCTGTTCTTCATTGATCAGCCGTGCCTGGTTAAAAGCCAGCCAGAAGGGTCTCAAGCTCAGGCTCACATCAAGATGTTGACCGGATACAAGACCACCACTCTCAGTTTGTCAGCAGCAAAAGGTTCTCAATGCAGCTAGTAGGGACTGTACTGTTTGAAGTACTGTTTGCACAATCATGATGCGCTGCATGCGCTGCCCAGCCTGCTGCCGTTCCCCAGAGATTCGCCAGGAGAATGCCTTCCAGCAAATAGGCTGTACGATCCTGTATGCATCTTTCTAAGCACTTGCTACAAAGATGCTGCGGCTGCTGTTGTTGATAGGCGTGCTTTGGCAACAGTCCGGCATCTGCTCTGCGAGAATCAGGACCACACCGCACCAGTCACACCGCGTCTTGTGGTTCAAGCTGCTGCAGTCCATGTCAGTTCACACGCGTTCTGCATCAGCGCTTGCTTTGCTCTGCTCCTCTGGGAGAATGCGGAAAATCTCCAACGTCCGATCATGCAACCCTACATGGCACTGTTGGGACATTCTCAGCAGCATTCCTGAATCTTGCTTACGAGGTATGGCTGCCGTTTCAGCATGGCCGAGTTATCTGCTGGCTGCAATTGCCTTGTGCACGTTGCTTTCAGGTCCAGCGATTGCAGCTTCTCTGCCATCATTGGGGTTCACTGGATGCAGAACCTGCCAGATTGAAATGTAATTTCATCAAGCAGAGAGTTCAAACCTTGTTGATCTACAGCGCAAGTCCACCCTGCCTTATCGGGGTCTTCATCCAGCCAAACCTACCATTCAGGTCTAATGCTGCACGATTGATTAATCAGCTTGGTCAGCCTGTCACAAGACCGGCAGGCCTGGAACTTCTCCCAGTTGTTATCCCCCATGGTCAACCTGGAAGCAAGAGGAGCAGGTGCGGAGGAGAATCACAAAATGAAAGTTCCAGCCGAGAGTCGTGTATGCGTATACACCTTCAGACTCTTCCTCCATTCTGAATCCATCAGTCCTGTCTTCCCAGGAACCGACATGTTCTCTGCTGGAAGCGCTCCGCCCAGAAACCCAACCAGTTGAGTTTTTTCGGTGAAGCTGTTGACAGAACGATGAGGCTCCGACGATGCAAATGGTGCTTCGCAGTTGAAATCTAGACAAGCTGGGCATGAGCACCACAGATGAGGCTTTGCTAAAAAGCGACGTGGTGTCAAAAGACTGATGTTCCCCAGGCAGTCCAAGCTGTCATTGTGCCAACCAGGAAGTAGCCGCGGAGGACTGGAATGGCCTCTGCAGTGCACTCGGCTCAGGCCCCGTGCTAGCAATGTTTCTGGGTCAATGCACACAGGACACAGATTTCTTACAGAATCTACGCTCTCAAGCGCCACTACAACCTGCATGGGAAACCATGCAATGTTGCGTACTGAGCTGCAAGGAAACTGAAACGGCGCACTCTGGCAGCCACTTTTGTAGCACATGAGGTGGAGCGAAATACCGGTTTACGTTGTCTTGTGAAATATCTTCATTCCAAAGCCGCACAAAAATCAGTTTACGCCCCTAAAAGTCCCCTAACAAAAGGAAAGCGCTAAGAGGGGGCAGAACTTGCCGAAAGGCCCTTCAAGCTTCCTTTTGCCATAGGAATCTTGAATGCAAAGACAGGGGGATGTTTTGGGGTTTCAGGACTTGGGGAATCAAACCCCGGACCCCATGAAACGCTACACCTCCCGAAACCTGGCTAATGCGAAACGCCCCTGCATTATGGCGACAATGTGTCGGAGACTGTAGAAGGCTTTGCAAATGGAGGCTTGCCACTCAGATTGCTCCTGGCACGGCATTTAGGCTACACCTCACGCCATGTTCTCGAGAGTCTTGGGGCCACTCTCAGCAGCGAAAGCCTTGGCAAAGGAATGGCATTCTTGTCTACTCATTCAGCTAATCTCGGGCTCATCTGAAAGAGTTGTACAATTGTACAAGCCTGCACTTCACAGATGCTCCAGCACCCCAAAATATCAAGACAGTCTTGAGTCACAGGCAGAGCTGACGTGCAGGGCGTGTTTCCCCATTGCTCACCAGTTCTGAGATCGATCGCCTTGCGCGAACAGGCTGCCAAGAGACACCCGTTTTGAAAAAATAGCAGCCTGACACCCATTTTGAAAAATGCCGTCCTCGGCCAGCATGCCAGGATGCTTTGAAGTTCTGAGGAGTGCCTCGTGATCCGTGCCACAACAGAATCATGCCGATAAAAGCTGATGCATCTGCCGAAACATCCAGAACTGCACAAAGCCTGAATCTTGTCAGCTCGCGCCTCCACCAACCTTCTCGATTCTACTGTTGCCCCGATACTGCGAAGCGCTTCGCTGTACCAAAGCCTGGGCGACATGAGGGGCAATAGTCTGCTTGCGATTTCTTTGTGCGAGCGATGGCAATACGCTCTGAGACTCCCGCAAGGTATTTGTTGTAAAGCACGTAGCGAAAGCCTTTAAAATTGACTCCTTGCCAGCACCAACGTCCAAACAAGCTGGCAATGCTGGGCACATGTAACTTCATGAACAAGTGCCGCCTCGCCGAGTACCTCCCCATCTGCTCCCTTCAAGCAGCTAGCGCACAGAGCCTGAGAACATCTGAGGACGTTGCTTGCCGGTTTTAGGCTGCAGGACCGATAGATTGACGGCCATGTCAGATGAAGTCTATCGATGCTCTAAGCGTCGCGCTGCATCAGCCTCGAAGGCACGCACGGTGCCACGGAAGCGAGCGTCCTCTGCAGATCAAGCAGCAAGCTGGTACACAGGTTGGGCTTGTGGACGTGCTTCATGCCTTGTAGACTTCTATGCAGAGCATGCCACCCGCCAAAAACACGGGCATCTCTTGTGAGCGCACAAGACATGGCACGACCCAGCAAGGCTCTCCGACCTAAATCCCTCCTGTGCTATAATATGCATCAATTCAACGCATGCAGGATGGCGGAGCAGCCTCTGGCGAGATGAACCCCAGCTCTGCCAATCGCAAAACGGACGGCCCAACCTTTGGGAACAGTGCATTAAGATCGCCCTTGCTTTTCGAAATCTTCAAATCACCTGATGCCTGCAAAGCTGGGCTTGCAGCTTTTGTGCCACCCCAGAAGGTGGTGAAAGCCCCTCCAGTTGGAGCACGCTAATTAAGCACGAGCATTCTGAAACAAACTCTCAGGCCTCTTGCAGGGCTCCAGGCCTGTTGGCATATCTCCTCCAGGCAAAGGCACTGCATCTCCCTACTCCCCAAAGGCTTGCACAGTGTGGCTTCACTTCTGTGAGATCAGACTCTCCAACTTACACTCTCAGGTGGATTTAACCATCCTTGCGTCTCAATCCACTGCCAAACCTGCCTCGTGAATCTCAAGGGCCTGTCTCTGCCTTGGACTTGCAACAGTCAAGACTGTGGCCATACCTGAGGTAAAAGTGCAAGAGATGACCAAGCCAGCTAGCTACCTTGCCAAGAAGCCAGTGATCAGCACGCTCTGGATCCCTGAAGTAGTGCGCAGCCTGCAGCGACTGCAGCAACAAGAACGCGGGGTCTGAACACGGATGCAGCATTGAATCACTCAACAACCATGGGTCGTTTGGCTTTTGTGCTGAGTGTCCACATTAAATATCTGTAGCCCAAAGGAGCTTGTGATACTGCTCACTATTCTGGAGACTGTAAAAACACTGTAGTATCCCATCTGCAATGCTCACAGATCTCGACACCATGCCAGCAAGTTGTTAATCATAACACTTAGCTGCGGACGACTCGGTGAAGTCGATCCGCCGCTGCCCAACCTCGCTACCCACGATGTAGAAGGCAATGCGGAGCAGACTTGAACATGAAAGGCGGGTCTAAAACAAGGCAAAGCTGCAAAGCTTGCCGTCAGGGCCCCAGCAAAGCACTGAGGTCAGTGTGTGAACGGAAGCTAGGCCATCTGAGCTCTGGTGCGAGTCGCCCAAGCCCTTGCGGAATGCGGGAAAGGAAAACTGATTCAGAAAGGCCGAAATATGCAAGACGTGCAGTCTAAAGGACCGGCCTCACACACAAAAAAATGCAAGTCATCGTCGAAAAAGCCTTCAAATCACAACCGTCTCTAATGTTTCCAGTCAGAGCAGTTGGGAGACATAACCGTTCAAGGCATTAAAGCTTCAACATGCGCGACCTGTTTGATTCAAATATCCCAAACATGTCAGGCACTTGCGTGGCCTGCACCCAAAGGCAGCATAGGCCTCAAAGCCAACACGGTCATGGCAAGGGCAAACTCGATACATATCCAAAGAGATCTCAGGCTGAGGCCTATTCACATGGTCAGACGTAGGATATGCTTTGTACATCTGACACCTCATGGCGTCTGCAACAGCTCGAAGCCTCTGATTACTGCCGTGCATTTTGTGGAACCCCCTGCAACCCACACTGGAGAAAATGTCGATCCGATCGTACAGAAGTTCGACTGTGCCCAAAGTGACGTCACCCTGAGCACATGTTTGATGAGGTCGCGGAGCGCCAACTTCTGTTTACTTCCATTGTTTCCGTGACTTTCAGTGACATTCCAGAATTTCCCTGTGGTCTTGCTTTCTTCACGTTGTGTTCATTGTGCCTGCATTGCCCCCTGATTTGTCCAAGACTCTTTCCAAAGAAATGCCCGATGACTTAAGTAGCAGAAATAGCAGACCCAATAACATCAACAATCGACATGATCCAGAATCCAGATGGCAGTCACATAGTAAAGGAAAAATGAGATTGAGAAGAACAGCAACAGGCAATTAGCAGCACGAAGCTAAGAACAGTACCACTGCGACCGCTAAGAACAGTACCACTGCGACCGCTACTAATATGTGAAGAATCTGGTGAATCCAAATAATGGCTCTTGCCATGTTTTCTGCAAACAGAATCAAGAATACTCACAAGAGATAACAAGCTGAAAGCAGCAGGCAGAAATGCAAGCATCAGAAAGCAAAGCGAGAAAGCAACAAGCAGCTGTCACAAGCAGAAAGCAAAACCCAAACACACACAACTTCCTAAACTAAAGCACGTCTGGTTTGTGAAACGCCGAACAGCGATCTCCACAAAGTTTGGATGAACCAAGCTACGCGGAACATTTGCCCCGCGACAGTTGCCAACCATCAAAAAGCTCCAAAGCAGAACACACGGGGCACTGGACGATCGGTTTCAACCCCCAAGCGCTGACTGATCACAAGGTAATGCATGCGGAGGAGCCTGTGGGAAAATGCGCTGCAGGCCCTCTGCGCATAAAGCCTGCAGACAGAGTCAATGCTGATCAAGAATGCTGCTGCAGCCTTCCAAGGCTCTGAAACTTGGAAGCTGTGTGCTCGGCTCCAGCTTCTCACAAAGCTGTGGGGTGCAGAGCTCCTGCATTGTGGCTGCAGAGTTGTCACTGAGCATGCTTTTCAGAAAGCCCAGCAAGGCATACGCATACGTGTGGAGCTCGGGATGGGGTCCTGAGATAAGCGTACATCGAAAAACGCGTGGACCAGCGAAATTGCCAACCTTTCAACACAAGACACTCATGTGAGAACACGCCCTGCAAGCTTCGCAGCTGTCCCGAAACGGAGCAGCTTTGCTTCACTTGGGAGCTGAGTAGAGCACAAGCCGTAGATGACAGCTTGCCTCATGGGACAGGCTCGGGAGCAGAAGACTTGGTCGAGATGATGAAAAGATGAAATTAAAAAAATCTGTACTCAGCTCATCACGGCCAGGCATCGGACTCCTCTGACAGCTCAGACAGCTATTTACAGCTTTAGGCTGCGGCTGAAGCTTCTGCAAAACATTCTTGCCACAACAAACCCCAAGCATCGCGGAGCAGCACATGCACTTTTGTTAAGCGTTCAGGCTTAGATTCCTCCCCGGCGCAGCATAATTAAAAAGGTCACTGTCAGCTGGCTTCGTTCGCCACGGGCTTCAGCAACGCTTGCGCGAGCCCAAGCCCTTGCTGACAGCGAGGCTGCATTGATCCTTGGTTGGAATTCCACATTCTTCCGAGACGAGTACTTCAAGGCCAGGTGCTCCTTCAGAGCCTCATGGTATTGACTTTTGCATCTGCAGCCAAGATTCGCCAAGATGCACGATGCCCAACGGACTACTGAACGCGACTTCTTCGGGGTTGGCGATCACTCAAGGCCCATCATGTCAAACCTAGGCATGTTGCGGCTCACGCGGCTGTGAGTGAACTGACATGACGGAAGAAGTGAAACGCACATGGCAAACGAAATGACATCGGACGGCTTCAGACATGAGCAGCAGAGAATTTGAGAATTTGGGAAGCGGACCACATGGTCTTGAAGCGCGGCATCAGTACGGCCAGGATGGCACCGCTGCCACCAAGATGCACCATCTTGGGGCCTACGCCCGCATAGAGACCACCTGACGGCTGCAGCATGCGTCCCCAAGCTGCAGGATGCCACGAAAAACTGATTGCTTCAACTTCTTGCCAAGAATCCAATGCCCTTGGTTTGAGCGAGGTTCGCTGCCTCACATGGTGCGAGCTGCGTGGCATGCGCAAATCAATCGAAGCGTGATGTGCAAAAGCAACTTGGTGGTGCCTCTGCAAAAAAGGGCACTGGGTTGTAAGGCGCCAGGAAGCTTGGCCTCAAAGCTGCAATGTTGCCTAAAGCCATACTTCCAGGGCACCGCAAAGAACCCTGCTCACCTGCATATACCTGCACACTCACCACACCAATTTCTGCTGGCCTGGGGATGGCGGGATCGAAGGTGTCTGCCAATGCCTCCAAGGTGTGTCAGCTCCGGTCTCACCACCTACCTCACGCACTTTCCCAATGGCCTTCTTCTGCACGATGGAGCGGCACACCTTATGATTAGCTGCAAGCACTGTAGCACTCTTTTTTTCGGCTACCAGGCTACAAATCACTCTGAAGTGCAAGCTGCAGTGCTGCCAAGGCACATCAGTCCAGCAATTCATTGCGGTTCCAGTGGCGCCGGCAGCAAAACCCGACAACACATCCTGCTACCCCAGCTGCAGCCCCCAAAGTTTCACGGCAGTTCAGGCATGTGCCTGCGCGAGCTTGTTGGACACAGCGCCGCTCACCTTGCGTCCACCGCAAAGCCGGAGCTGCCATGTACGAGTATCTTTTTGATGAGCACAGGGATCTGACTTAGGCTCGAGCCCAACCCTTGTAGAGGTCGAGCGTCAGGAAAAAGCCGCCGGTCCATAAGCACTGTCGCACCTGTCTCAAGCAGTTGAGCAGAATCATGAGCGCATCTCTCTGAATGTCTTGCCTGCATTCCAGCATAGCCGATCATCAGGCCATTGAACCCTCGAGTTCTCAAAATGTGCTTTGCGATGTCAGCCTCGGCTACCGAAAAGGATGCAGCTAGTGACGCGGCTTTTTCATGGTGCCAAGGTGGTGCCAAGGTGGTGCCAGGGCACGGAGCCCTTGAACTTTCCCTCCTTATCCAGCTGTGCCGCCAACTTGATGTTCCTTAAGTGCTACAGCACTCTAGCACACCCTAGCTCATGGGCACTCGTGGGGTTGTGTTTTGCAACACGCGGTGATGAATGCTGAGCAGTTCGGCATCCCAGCAGTCCTAGCACCACCAGAATAAAAATTCCAAGCATGCAGCCTGCCCCTAGGAGACCATCGCACTTGTCTTCAAGACCAGGGTCTCCAGTGGTGAGATTGCAAGCACCTCTGTGAGTTAAAGCTGACTGCAGTTAAGTGATTCCAAGAACCTGCAAACTTTGCCTCCGGAAATGTGCCGATGGCACCGGCCAGGCCCTGAGGACGGGACGTCAGCTTAGACCCCCTTGGGATTCTTCAGGGGCTCTGTAACCTGGACTAGACAACTGCGTGCTTGTCATAAGGTGCATGATGGAAATTCTGCACTCCTTAGGACCCTAGCATCTCCGAAATGCTGTCATGTCTAGGGCGTGAGCCTTTCTTCATCTATTGTTGCCCGAGTAGACGCTGAGCACAAAACAAAAAAACTTCGACCACAAAACACCAGGCCTTGCTCACCGGCGTGCCTTTCGTCTCTGGCACCCCATAGAGGTTCTTGTGAACCTTGGGTCGCGGTATATGAGCGCGCGGTATATGAGCGCATGTGGGGTTGATCCTCTGACATGCTGGAGCTGAGAGGCCTTGAAACACTAAGGCTGTGGCAATGGGCTGCATGAAGAACCTGAGAAAGAGATAGGAGGGAGGCAGCTGGAGAAAAGCTGCTTGTACGGCAGTACGTTGAGCAGCCGACTATGCCACTGCCGACGAGTCACTTGATGGCTCGCGAAATGGATGCCCTTGTGACTTCTGCGACCAAGCCCTGCTTCACAAAGCCCATGATGCCGTGAGCCTGCACCACCAACACATGTCAAGCTGAAACTGCGGGGGTTAACATGGCATATCATGGCATATCTAGCGTACATGGCTCGAAGAGTGAACAAGAGTGAAGCCTGCCTGTAGAAAGCCTCTGAGAGCTTCTCCGGCGCCGGTCCCAGGGTTGGCCATACCTTGGATGTTCAAAATCTTCAATTTGCAGGCAAAGCTCAGCTGAAGCCTGTCCCTCCACCATTGTCTACGAAGGCACAGATTGCACGCACCACATCGACTGGATACATCACCTCAAGCTGCTCACGGTGTTCGGTGAGGGATGGCTAGACTTGGCCGCAGGCTGGCCGCAGGATACTGCAGTGCAAGGCACAACACTTGTGACCACGGCACCCCCGCAAATAGGCGGGAGTGTGTCCAGAGGGGTGGCCTTTCGCTTAGCAGCCATGATTCCTCTCATCGACTCAAAAAGAATTCAGCAACTTGCATGGGACATGATTGTCGGGTCTCTCAACTTGCCACATACAGTACGTTTGCAGAATGACCTCGAGGTGTCTAATCTATCCGGCTGCAGTGTCCTTGCAGCTGGCACTTGCAACCGAGGAGAGAATGAAACGTCAAGCCAAGCGCTTGGGCCAAATGCAGCAAGCATGTCAATGGTGTCAGTTGCACACAAGGGCAGAACAAATATTCAAATCAGGGGACAACAAAAAGTAACATACGAAAGGCTGGACGAGGTGACCTCGTCATGCGCGGGATCCTCCAACAGCATGCCACCACTGTGCACCTGGCGTCGAAAACTCTGAATACAGGCAAATACGCGGACCATTGCAGACACATAACGGAAAGACACTAAGAGTGGCTGTTGTCATCCAAGATGTAACTCGCCCTGGTCCACGTACCACCGTAGTGGAGGCCGGATGAGTTACAGCAATTCGAAACTTCAGATGCGGAAACATACGCGCGCAGGAACAGAGCAAAAACCCGCGTACGCCCAGCTCAACGAAAATCTACAGTACCAGTCTCGCCAAAAGCCGCAGAATGCCCAGGCCACTGCACTGTGGTGGGCCTCACCCATGCCGCGGTATCCAGCAAGATATGGAACATACCTGAAGCAGTCGCAGGCTCGCACCCCTCAGGCCACTTCTGCGCTGGCCCCATCAAATCCCAAGTCATCCCAAGTCTAAGCCTGCCATTCTGGTGCACATCATGCTGCTGAGCTGAGCATGACACTCGCGCTTTGTATCCTGCAAGGCACCTTTGGACAGACCATGCGGATATTGCAACAAATCGCAGGATCGCAGGACGCCCCGGGAATGCACTGAGGCACAAGCCCCAGGAGTTGTACACATGCTGTGGGACCTGCTCTCGGTAGCAGATTTCCTGCAAGACGACAAGTCTCAGCAAATCAGCTAGCAACCAGCTGGTATGGCTACAAACCACGCGATGTACACTATGAATGCACTGCAGAACAAAGCTTCTACTTGAGCATCTGTTTCCAACTGAACTGTCCTTAGCAAATCCCAAGAACTTCTTGCACAGGTCCAAGAGACCCATGTCTCGCAGCACAGGAAGAGCCAAGCCTTGGAATGGATCATGGAGGTTAGAAATTGCAACTTAGACTATGGCCAGAAGGGCAATTCCACAAGAGGGCATCACTCTGCCGAATGCTCAGCGTGGGACACTCATCCAAAAGCCGGCACACTCTGGAATCTCGAGTTGAGGGGCAGAATGGCCTCAAACATGGAAGCACAAACCCAGAACTTCGGCTATGCCCGCGCTAAGGGGCTAAGGATGGCACCCTAAAGGAAGACCCATGGACAACGTCGCCAGAAAGCCACCACAGTCCTGTCTCATGACGCTCGGAGGAGAGACACCGCCTGTGCGAAATTGTTGGGACCTCTGACTGGTTCATCGCCAGCGTCATTGCTGCTCGCATGAGAACCTAACACGTCTTGAACACCAAGAGCTAGGGTCATTGAGCGTGCTGGTGGGGCATGACTCAACACTTATCGTAGCTGCGGTCAAAAACCTGCTGCTGCCATCAAGATCGGAACCTGACATGAAATCCAACCCTCTGTCCGGCTGCTGAATCAAATCAAAAGTCTAAAGCACGAGCCAGACCCCTGAGCTCTGGAACGAAAGAATCAACGCTATCAACCAACCTCTGAACTGGGTCTGAACAGGGCTGCATGGTCTGGTTCCTCTTTTCCATCGAAGTGGATAGTTCTACTGTTTCCTGAGGCACAAAATATGATCTTGGCCTGCTGGAACTCGACTGGCAAGCAGAGATTGCTGCACCTTAGCATAGCTGAACAGAGCCTCGCATGCAGCCTTGGAACACAGAAGGAATTAGCTAATAAGCACAGCACCATTGCTTCCAGTAGTTGGTAGTCTTGGTCTCAAACCTGAGCAATGGCTCCATGGGGACCCTGCTGATTCGGTCCCAATAGGATCACGGCTCCATTGCCACTTGCGACAGTGAGTTCCTTAGCTCAACATGGCTCTTGCGCAGATTTTGGACTGAGAATTTGTCAACAAGGAGCAACGTAGCTAGAAAGGCGAAAAACATGTTGACAGACGCGGCTTCTCACGTGCTGTCTGCCAGAAACTGCAATATAGCACATCTTAGCCATGGGCGTGAACGACTCATCGCTGCCAAACACGATGATAACCTCGGCTTCTGAGGAGTTTCTCTGTACACCACATGACGTGTGCAAGCTCATGCAAGCATCTGGATTTGAAGTCGAGCTCCTGGCAGGTTCATCCGCGACCAGGAACGGTATCTCCTGCGTCGCAGTGCTACAAAGGCAGGGGTTTCGCGGCAGTGGCCTCATTCAAGACTCTCGGCTGAAATCACAAATGCGCGTGATGGAAAGTGGCCACGATCGAGCCAAGGTACATTTACTGCAAGATGCTGCGAGATCTGCGTTAACCTTTGCCCTCGCGTTCAATCTAGCTGGTAGTTTCCATAAATTAGGGGACCCCACTATAGACCCTCAAACACTATAATCCTTGTTTTGGGGGTCCCCACAAAGTACCCCTGATTCTTGCTTAGCTTCAAAGCCAATCTCACGGAACAGAGTGCGCAAACCCGCAGCTTGCCAGGGAAACTTGTACGATTCCTAGGTTAATACTACTATTTCGACTACTCTTAGTCTGGAAATTGGAATCATGATTACCATTATTAAGGTTATTGCTGTTTTTACACCTTGAGATCCCGCGGACATAAAGGGCGCATAAGAGGATTGCCAGGATTGGTCTGCCGTGTTGCGCACGGTTTCCATTTGAGCTTCGGGCTTCAGATGTCGCGCATAGCAGCATGCACACTCCTTCTTGTCCTAAAGGGTATGATGACTGCAGAACACAACGAGACGGGGGAAATAACAACTGAGAATAGCACATGTGCAACATTTTCTCTGCAGCACCATGTAGGGGAGGTCAAGAACTTTGGACCTCCAACCGCTGCAGCCTACTTGAGCCTCAAAGGCGCATCGTACATTAACGCGAATTCAGATGAGCTCTGCAGGACCACGAATGGCTCGCTCACAGTGCTACTTGGTTTACTGACTGCCAATCAGCCGCTTCCGGACCGATTCCAGCTCCGCCAGAGACAGCATGTGCTTGCCTGTCATGTCAGGCAGCAGAGGCATGGAGTAGGCAATGCAATCACGCGTAAAATTCTGAGTAAATGAAAGTCATGGAATTCTGGCCTTCACGAAATAGCGTACATGCGAGATTAAAACATCCTGCCTGTGCCTGCTTCGTACCTGAGACTGAGGAAAAGACTTGGATGACTTGGAATGCATATGAAGCTAGCATGCTGTCAACGCTTTTGCAATTTCATACTTGACTGTTCTACATGCACCAAATTTACGACCACCAAGCTGCGATTTGAAGACACCTTCACGAAGCGAGTCAGCAATTGCTTGCACAAAGCAGGCGCGAAGGTTTGCTGTGACCTGCATGTCCAGCATCATCCAGCAGCAAAACAAGACAGATACGGAGGGGGCAGCCCACAAGTACACCTGTTTTTCACTTGCGGCCCCTTAAAGCTATCAAAAATAATCTCAAACTTATCTACATGTTCGTGACTTGTGTTGGGATAGCCCTGAGCCCTGGTCATTGTGAGCGAAACCTGTCGTAGGGACAAAAGGCCTGTCATGCTATCAGCATGCTGTTGATTCTCATGCAAGTACATGCTACAAGTTCCAACGGATAGTTTATCCCGCCTCTGCTCGATGAGGTGGGTGCTCCTCAACCAGATGCTAAGTTAAGCAAAAGAGCGATGGACAAGCTGACCAGAAATAAATGTTTACTGCAATCGTGACTCAAACGATCACAAGGTTCATCTCCCATGAGGTGCAGAATACGCATAATATTCACTGTCATTTTGCAGGGGGGTTGCATGGTCAAGCTCGCAAGCTCACTCTCATGCAGCAAAGCCGCCAGCACAACGAGCGATGAGTCAGCCTCACAGATAGCGCTGCTACCCTTCAGACTTTGGGAGTTTGGAGATGCTTCTTTTGGACAGGCCTCGCTGCTGACCATGCACCGATTTCCATCTGCTTGAAGGAAGAGCCTGCTTGCATACTATGATCAACTGCTTCTGGCCAGTATAACTTTATAGCTATAACTCATCCCTTGACCGGCAGCACATGGGGTTCAAGACTAATGCTGGAACCTTTGGTTGACAGTTGAAAATCAGTCGTGATGAGTTGTGCCTGGCGCCGGGGCTTTGAAGTCTCAAGCGAACCGCGCCGGTCACTTTCCCATCCCCCTCGTTTGGTCCTGAGCTCCTCATCCAGACATGTCAAGACGTGCAACAGTAACGGCAAGAGGCAGCGCTCCTGGCAGGATCCGCTTCGACAACGAACAAGCGCCCTTCATCGTATCCTGAGCATCTTGTTCCAACAGTTCTGTTTCTTCCCATTCTATTTGAAGCTCAGGACGCAGCGCTCCGATGCAAACTTTGGGGCAGACAGGTTCGTGCCCAACTTGGCCTGCTCCTGAATCTGATAAAAGCGAAGCCTTTTCGAGGTTTGAAGCTGGACTGTTTACAGCACCACCACAAATCATGCCTCACTCAGGCTTGGCTTTGAATTTGCATCATGTCATGCAGCTGAGTGGCTCCATCAGAAGGCTTCTTCACCGGACCAAGATGTGAACCGCAGTTGGAGCGGAGCCAAATCTGCGTCAGGTTATCATGTCAAAGAAATCAGGCAACTGAACAAGGAATTTGGCACGTGACATGTACTGCCAGAGTCTTTGCTGCCTCGTCACCGTACTGTAACGCCCCTACACCTTTGCGGCGCTCCAGCACAAAGCTCGCCAAGGTGCTGTCATTGCTTTCCTCAGGCTCTTAGGCTCTTAGGCTCTTAGATCATGAGATCGTTTGTCAAGTTCACACAGCTCTGGAAAATCGGGCCATGTTTTCTGGGGGACCTGCCGAGGAGCGGACGAGCCTGTCCACAGCCTGCGACTTTTGGCCCACGGGGAATCTGCTAGCAAATTCACTGTTAGCAGTGCCTGGAAGCCTTCCAAAGTGAGGAAGGACGTTCCCACTTTGAGACAAACTTCGTCTCCGTGTCGCAGCACCTGAGACTTCTTCAAGACCCGTTGAAGCCTTAGAGGTCATCAGAATCGGTGCCTCATCCTGCTCGTAAGTGGTGAATCCCAGCCAGTGAATCAGGAAAGCCTGCAGCTCCTGAAGGGAAAGCCATGATGCGTTGACTTGCTTTTTACTGCCCCAAGCGTAGCTGACTCTAGCCTGCTCCGTACGAAAGAAAAGACAATTCAGCAGTAAAGAGAACACCCCGCGCCCATGATTCCGGCAAAGCCGCAAGAATCGAGAAAGAGAGTGGTGCTGTCACCTCCCACCCCATTCAGGAATCAGACAAGTGATTGTTGATTTTGGCACATGCTCAACCGGGTTACCGTCTTCAGGCGAAAGCTTCCAGATGGCAGAGCCCTGAGGCCGAAATCGCAACCTGGAAACAAAAGATTCCAAGGAGGCCCAGAAGATAGAGCCGTGCTATGGTTGCCTCAATACTGGACACGGGGACAAGCCAGAGGAAAGTCAGTGTGTCAGTAGCTCTGCAGGCAGCCCTCTACACTCATCAGTGTTTCTGCTGCTCTACCGCTTCATTAGCAGTTAGCAAATCATGCAGAGAGCGGATGAGCTAATTGATGGGCCAAGTGAGATCCATCCTCTTCAGGCACCACGCCGCTTGCACTTCGTTGTTGAAGAAGCAGCAGGCCATCCTGCAGCGCATCAGGCGTGATCTACGCAGCTCGAGAGCATACGGATCACTGTTGCATCTGTTGCATCCGCACCTGCACCAGCTGTGTCCAGGGCAGCTTGGCTCCACTTGCCTGGAAAGCCGTTGCGGCGGATGTAGGCCCTGCATAGCACCTGAACATGATTTCTGTGCATTTGGGAAGCTGCACAATAAAATCGCAAAACCAGCCTGAGACTGTTTTGACTGTTGTGGCTGTGGAAAAGCTTTTGGACCTTACAGGAGTTCAAGCATCAAAGTCTCGATGCTCTCAAACCAGGATCAAGGTGCACCAGCCTCGCAAAGCATGAATTGAATATCATGCCTTGGGGTTGAGCGGCCGACTGCTGGACACAATCGACTGAAACATTGTTGAGGTGCAAACAGCTCCAGTGGCTCAGAGTCTGGATGTTGCCAGTACTTTGGTGCCTCCTGCGAAGGATTGTGGCAGGTCGGGTTTTGTTGATGTTGGCTCACTCCTCCAGGATGGCACGCATCAGTGGAACTGCCACACCTTGGCACCACGACTTTACCAAATGAAACAAACCCTTTCTTCTCTGCCAGGTTTCGGGCCCTGCAGGGGGCGCTCCTGGAACAAACAGGGCACATGGGTCAAGCCATCAATCAGCAAGGCTTAGGGTTTAGGGCTCAGGGTCTAAATGTAGTAACTTAAACTAAGTTCCTTAACCCTAAACTCTAAGCCTTAAGCCATAAACCCTAAACCCTATACTATACCCCTAGAGAGCTGTCCTTAAGATGATACAGCAGCATGAGCCCCAGCACTGCCCCTGGCCCAGCTGGCGAGAAGCTTTGAAGGTCCTTAGTCCCAATTGCTTCACAATTATAGCATGGTAGTATATGGGGAAGGCTTTCTATTATCCATCACTATGTGTATATGCATACATATACAAACACACACATATATACATACATCCATATATCCCCCTGTCTACCATATAATCCCTATGTGTGGCAGTTTCGATATCATCTACCATGTCATGTTCCATCTAAATGCTCCATTTGAATTTCCTGTTCCTGCCCCCTAAACCCCATACATATATCCCTGTATAGCCCTATGGCTCGTCGTTTCGTTTGCAAGCTTCCATGATTCCACCCTAGGAGCCCAGGACTGCTTCCGTGACCTGTAAGGGCTATAATATAATGATCCCCATCGCTTTACAGGGCTTTCGCCTGAAAACTCTGGGCTGTCGCTTTTCAATGACAGGGTTTTGGCATACCATGTCCGTTACCGACATAACTCATCATAACTCCTTACAAGCGAGTCTTGACTGTGGCTCATAAGGGACCACGGTCCCCTTATAGGGGTGACAACAGCCATATACAATTCATGTCGGGATTATATAGACTATGTAGGGTTCCAGGATATATGGGGGTCTATCTATGGGAGGCTTATGTAACTCATGGCGATACGTATGGGTATCTAGGATTCAGGAGTTGGGGATGTTTACCGATGTTGCCCCAATTGGAAAATGAAATGGACACTGAGCTGGCTCAGGGACGGGCTGACACACTTCGGCGGCCACCCTCGAAAACAGGCGTGTCCAAAAGATCCTGGGCGATCTCCTGCACAGCAGCGTTATGGGAAGCGTTCTCCCTTCTTTGGGCGTCGTAGCTGCTCCGACCCACCATGCCAAGCCCGAAGATCTTCAACCCTACGTGCTGTGACCGCTGCTTCGCACAGCAGATTCTCTATCAAATCACAACCTCTATGCAATCAGGAACTTATTCAAGCCATATTTCCAAAGCCCTAGAAAGCGACTATGTCCCATTCTGGGACTCATTTTGAGGTTTGCGAGCAGTGCCAAACGAGAACTCGACAAGGTGGGTCCTTGCTCACCCAGGCAGGCGGGTCGCAGCAGACGACGTGAAGCGCTTGGAATCAGATCACATGTATGCTGCAATGTTCTTTGCCCAATACGTCAATACGTGTTGGGAACAGAAGTGCAAGCTTATCCGGTCTGTCGCGACTCCTTTGCGAAGAATGTGGGCTCGCGCAGGTTGTTTTCCTCAAGTGTGACTTGGACTTCGGAGTACATGTTTGAGACATTGAACCAAGCAGCCTCTGTTGCATTGGAAGCACGATTGCTCTTGATTTTGCCGTGGCACGTCACGGCCAAAGAATGGCAGCCGACCCAGAACGTTTGCCACCTTCTGCCAGCGGCACTTGCCTGCATGCAGCTAATGGCCGCTCCCTTAGCTCGCTTCAACCTTGTTTCCGCGTTTTGCAGCTTCTACATACCTGACGCCTCCATTTTTGCTCGTCATCACCCAGTCAACGGGCATCAGCTGGGTTAGGGCACGTGACCGAGAGCAAGGCTGGACTTACCGTCAAACGCTCAGAACGCAGGCTGGCATTCCACTCAAACTCGTACTCTGACCGTGTTGTTGTGTTGTCCAGACAAGGCCTGCTTGTCTGCTAATGGCACTGCTGGTTCCCTTCTGCTTGGATTTCTTGCCAAGATTCAGGTCTGTTCTGTGGGCACGAAGTGGGCACCAAACACATGTGCATGCTGCCGGAGACAAGGGTTAATGATTGTGGCGAAAGCTGATTCTGTGTGGTGAGTGCATCAAGCTGGGTACGACTCCGAGATCTCACAGACGCAACGAAGCTTCAGCGCGGCTGCAGGACTTGGCACTTTGTAGCATCCAAGTCGTTCAAAATCATTGAAACTTCGGAACTTGTGGGTGGTACCCCTGCTCAGGGCCTCCCGGTTGCACGATGGAAGCCATGATGGAGCTCAATAGATTCGGACTTGCCGCATACATCGCGAGCTTCAAGGCACACTGCTACTGTGACATCTGCAACGCTCAGATTTATGAAGTCCCGCACGCAATGCCAACACTTGCTTGCATCCCTTGCCTTCTTGGTCGGGCAATGCTGCCTCGACAACTTCGGGCGCCATCCGCCAGACTGCCTTACACTTTTGCATAGCCAACGTCACAGGATGCTACATCCTTGGACTCTCTTTGAAATACTGGCCCGTGCGGACGGAAAGCATCAATCAGCCGGAATCTGCCATGAATAGTGAAGTAAGTCAAGGCTGGCTCTCGGTTCACCACTGCCTGCGCAAGATGCTTCTTGACAAGATTCACTGAAACAGCGTTTCAGAACCGGTTGCCGGGTGCCGCGCCTTCAGACCGCGGTTGTAGAGCAGCCCCTGAACAAGAAACAGAGCAGACCAGACTTCAGCTGCCGTAGCAGTCTCATGTAAAAAAAACACGGAAACCGAATGCCATGTCCAAGGTGGCTCCACATTGCACCTGCCTCAAGCTTGGCATCATCACAGTTACGCCCGAAAGCCTAGCTGTGCAAGCCAGCGCTGCTGGAGCTTCGAACATGTTGCTCCCCCATGAACCTGAAAGCTGCTTTGCATGCCGCGGCCTTCCGGATCTTCTGCGGGGCTTCATAAGCATCGCTGAACAGAGAGGCTGCGCAGCCGTCACGAAAGGCCTCTGTGATCACACGCCGAATGTGATCCTTCTCCACGTCAGACCAATTCCTGCTGAGTCTAAGATTGGGCGTTGCATGGACATAAGTAATGTGACATGATATGGAGAACTCTCCAGATGTGCTGTCCAAGTTTCGTAAGGAAGCCTATCGCCCGAGCAAAGAGGAGGGTTCCACCCATAAACCGCCACACGCAAAAGTTCAGCACAAGCAGGGACTTGAGTCTGTCACGTTCAGCGTCTGACTTGCAAAGCTTGAAGCGCGTGTGCGCATCTGCTAGCCGCGCCAAGTCTTTGGTTGTGCGATCTTCTCGCCGCCTCACGTTTGGACAACACCATCGCTTAAAGTAGGCAGCCATATCTGGCGGCAGGTTGTCGTAAAGCTGCACACCTGCAACACCAGCTTTCCTCCGTTTGGCAATAGTCTCACGGGCATTCATCATGTCATAGAAATGTTGTAGCATGCTCTCGGGAGGCGTCTGGCCGACCTGGTGCCCTTGCTGACGGCAAGGAAGCTTGGACTGCTCCAGAACTGGCTCTCGGGTAGCAACTTTACTCGTTGAGCTCGGCAAGGGTGTGGCTTTATTCTCGGGCGCAGCCTTGCGACCTCTGAGCAGTTGGCCCTTGCGACGCTGTACCTAGCGGGCATGCCACTCAGCGTCTGAACCCCAGCTGCTTAGACTTAAACCCCTGTCATCTGGTGCCATCCCCTGCCTCCTCGAAGGTGCCACCTGATGCCGCTAACCGACAGCAGCACCGCGCTATTCGTGCAGCCTCTTGTGCAGACTGGATCGATTCCATACAGGGCTTCTTCGTTCTCTGGAAAGGGGCTCACTTCCCGCACCACGGGGAAATTCATCACAACAGTCACCCCGAGGTCGTGCAGCGGTCCCCTGTTACTGGAATATGCGCATTTGGGATGTCAGCTTCGTCAGTCGGATGCAGCGTTTTTGCTCGTGGTTTCTTGCATTGAACAGATTGCTTTTGAAATTTGGCAAAATCTGCAAAAGTCCTACAGGCCCGTGGCATCCCGTGGCAGAAATTTGCTTTTGGAGGGTATAAGGTTAGAGGACCCGCTTGGAGGGCAGCTTGAGTGTTGCTGGGGCGTCGGCCTTTAAAGGAGGAGGCGTAGTGGGCACATTTCAGCATCATTGAGTGCGTCGCGCACTGCTTTGGCAGCATTCCTTATCGGAATTGGCAATGTTTTCCAGGAGTCCCGAAGCCCCGCGGCAGCATCATGAACACAGCTGGACTATCGTCGGTGGCCAGGCGGAGGCTTTTGGGCAACTTGCTGCACGCCAATTCTCCAGGGGCCCGTGCTTCGCCAATGATGCTTGTGGCTTATGATGCTGGCCCGCACTCCCAGCATCAAAAGCATCATGGCGCCTCCGCTTCTCCAGCAGCTAGCACCATCAGCGTCATGGGTCCCCCTTCCTTTCCCAAGTATGTTAGAGGCGGATTAGTCTTCATCCGCACCTCCCCCCCAACTTGTGAGGGATTTGTGGTTCCACGCCCCTCACGAGCAGGAATACTTACCAGATTCTGGGGCCAGCATCAGCGACATCATTGGTGCCAAGTTTCTTGCCCAAGGGGTTTAATTAAGCATGACGCATTGGGTCTCACATCTTGTTTTGTGGCTTCCCCCGGCCTGTGCGAGATTTTTGTTGCCCAGGCTCTGGCTCCAGAATGCTCCGGAGAGTTGCGGGCCAGCATCATCAAGCGGTGAGGTTGGAGTTGGAATTCCCACTTCCAACACAGCATGCACTTGTACGTATGCTGTTGCAAAGCATGCATGCATTGCTGGCGTGATTGCTTCTCTCCACGCACGCTTTCGACATGGAGACCTTTTTTGTGCAGCAACTTCCGTCTCGAACGAGTGTTGATTGGAATACCAATGTCCACGTTGGCTCATAGACTCGAGTCCATTGATGCTGTCATGCAGTGCACTGGCCCTAAATCACGGATGTTGTGACATTCTGTGCACTAAGTCATCAATCACTCACCGCTTGTTCGCAAACACGATGCATGTGCAACTGCTGACAACGACGGCAAGTCTGATCCATTTGGCTACGTACGTGGCTCTTTGCGGCGTTATCAACGTGACATCACGCGGTCATCGTTCGGGTACCCGTTTGGATCGTCTGGAAGGTTTGGCTTCACAGCTCTAGTCTGGGGGACCCTGCACACGAACAGCATTGCATACAGAAGCCGTGCCTGAACCACATGCTAGCAATCCAGGTGACGGCCTGGTTCCTTTGATTGCTACTTAGCAGCTAAATCTGAAACCTGCAAGTCGCCAGGGCGTTGTCCTGCCCGCATCTAACCCCTGCAAGCCCCAGCACGCAAGGGTGCGGTTACAATGATCGTGCTCTTTGGCCTTGCCTTACCTTAACCACCCAAAAACCCAAAGCATCCGGCATGGCCTTTGACGCAAACCTTGAACCGTAAATTACCACACCCCGAAATCATGCACGCCATTGAATGTTTCGTTGGTGCAGTAGAGCTATGTTGCAAAGTGTTGCCCTTTTATCAATCACCGGCTGCGAGCCTCCTCAACGGACCCTCCCGTCGACTTTGCCCTGATGGAGATCTTGACTTTGGAAGCGTCGATGAAGCGTCTACCCGTATTTTCTCGGAGGCGGGCCAGGTCGATGCGACCCTCGAGATTCCATGCATCAGCTAAGAGAAAGTAGGCGGCCTGCGCGGCTGTTGCCTTGTGGCCGATTTTCACCAGTCTACGGACGGGGTCATCTGCTGGTACATCACTGAGCACTGCAGCGTCAGCGTTGGCAACCTCCCTTTTCGTTTGTTCGGACGGAGGTCTTTTCGTGCATGGTCTGCCAGGCTTCCTCTTTGTTGATGCGTCGGATCTTGCCGACTGGGGCATCAGCAGGTTGCCAGAACCTTGCTTGCTTCGCTTCCGCTTTGTTGGTGCATCAGGCAGCGATGAGGATCCGGAACATGTCGGCAAGTTGCTGTCGCTTTGCTTGCCACGCTTCCGCTTCATCAGCAGGGTGCCAGCACTTTGCTTCCCGCGTTGCCGCTTCATAGGGTCTGATGGTGCCCCACTTGCGTAGGGCGTCGGCAGGTAGCCATCACTTTGCTTGCCGCGCCTCCGCTTGGCTGGTGCTTGGGATCGTGCTGGGCTGGTCAGGATCAGCAGGTCGCCAGCACTTTGTTTTCCTCGCTTCCGCTGTGTTGGCGCGGCATGCTGGGATGCAGAAACTGTCGGTGGCATTTGCTAGTCAGTAGGCTGTAGTAGACAAAGTTTCTTGCACTCTTTGCTTGGGGCTTGTGGGCCTTGCAGCTCTGCTTGTAACTGTGGCATGCAGCGTGCGATAGATCAAAAAGCACCTAAACTTACCTAAACCATCGACACAGATGTAGATGCTTGGTGGGGAGAGCTTTCAGGATCCTGGTCTGTCAAGTCCGTCTTCAACAGGCTACTTTGCAGACTTAGAACTGCATTCATCCCGGATGATTCTTAATTTCAACTTGATGCAGGTCCATGAGCCAAGGATGAGGCGAACAGTAGCATGTTCTTGGCAAAAGATACTCTACTACTATATTGGGGCAATATTGGGGTTATACAAGGGATAATGGAGAAAATAAAATGGAAACTACTATCATAGGGTAATTTTAGGGTTATTTGGGGTTACTATGGTATAGCCCACCATAATGAAAGCACTGCCTGGCAGCGAGGCAGTCAGCACAAAGTGCACACTACATGATCCAATCACTGAGGTGGCTTTACAATCACCCTGGCCTCGATCACACGACGAATGGGCATGTTTGTGGTAACTCGCCTCAAGGAGAACTCTGCTGCCAACAGCAATCATACATATATATATATATGTATATACATATATCTGTGTATGTGTGGCGATATGTAGCTCTCTCTCTCTCTCTTCACATGTGCGCACAATCCCAAGCTGGCGCACCAGGTATGCTTCGGACCACCTCAGATGATTGTTCCTTCTTATCGCCTCTTCAGCTTGACTAGACTACTCCAAGTTGTTGTGGTCAGGTGCCTCGCATGGTGCAAGGGCTGCATGATTGATCAAGTCTTTTGAACGTAAGGACAGATTGGTATGGCAGCCGCGGCACAGAATCGGACATGCTGTGAACCGCGAGTTTGGTACCCATCAGTGGAGTTATACCTGCTCAGCGCGGGGATGCCAATTGCAGTCCACACCGGAAGGGAGAAGTCAGATGCAAAAACGCGGCGGCTGGACTGAAATGTTGGACGGATTCGAACCGAGATTCGTGGATCTCCCTGACAGTTGATGCAACATGCTGCAACAGAAGCTAGACACTTCTGCCAAAGAATAGAAATCTTCTCCATGCTGACTGTTTCTCGAACATGGCTTTCATCCACAAGGCCCCGCCGAATATCCACCCACCAATCCGTTCTCACAACTGGCTGTCGCTGAGAGTCCGCGGGCACGACGGGAAGACGTTTTGCTCACTTGTAAAAACCACTGACCTGTGTCACTGCACCTGCTGCCACGTGCCCTATACACTCAAGACCTTGATCTGGACGCCATCATGAGACCGTAAAACATGTTTTTCTGTTTGCTATGTCCTGCTCCGTGCGGATGCAACATGTTGACCCTTCTGCGCCTGCAACCTCCGGACCAGCCGGATCAGCTGGAAGGGGCGAAATACTCGGTCCTTGACTTCAAACTGGCTTGTCGCATGAAACCTACAGCCGCACAGCATGCGGCAACTAGCGTAACTAGCCCACCACAGTCAAAGCCAATGGCTTCTTCGGCATCCCTTGGCCTTGATCAGTCAAGCGGCATAGTGAACAAAACGAGGAGCAAAGTCACGAATCTCGACCTGTTGAATCACAGCATGTGTGACACGCATAACGAGCGCGAGGAGTGTGCCCCAAAGAAGGGCATGCTATTTGGGCGTTGGCATAGCCGAGCTTCGAGAATAGCAACCGGACAAGCTGTGTGCGTTTGCTCAGCTGCGGGTCTTATACTTGTCACTAGTTACAATCGGCTGGGTAGCACGCATGTCGATGCAAACGCTGGATGCTGCACGCAGGTCATGCACAGGTGTTCTCCCTCTCGGCTCTCAACCACATCGCCCTTGTCCGAGAGGAGCTTCGTGACGAGGATGGTGCTTGCGTCTAGGAAAGGGCAAATGTCTGAGACCAAATGTGCCGCCTCAGAGCTACCCCAAAATGGAAACTACTATAGTATATTGGGGTTATATTGGGGATATTGGGATAATGGAAAGGAAAATGGAAACTACTATAGTATATTACTATGTCATGGCAAAAGAAAATTGCAGTGCCTTCATAGAACTGCTCGGCTTTGCTGAAGTCTTCAAGCACAACATCGTAGAAACCTGTCCTTGGCATCACGTATTTGTTCAACCCTGCACTGCCTTTGTTATCCCGCATGGCTGCGATATCAGCCCTGCCTGACTTAACACATTTGCAAAGCATGCCTCCAATCCTTTGACGTTGTCGTGCTCCCTTCTCAATCACCAGAGGCTGCGGGGCCCCGGGGCCCGAATCTTAAGGCCGGAGGCCCTGAGGCCTAGCGCCCCTGGATTCCTTGCACCTCACATACCTCACCTCAGTCCAGGCCGTACGCCCTGCAAGAGCATCCTCATCTTCGGCCCTGAATTGCTTTTTGGGTGGTCTAATTCGAATATTTCGAATCCTTCTTCCTTCTTCCATTTGGAAGGACCTCGCCATTCATGGCCGCCCCAATCGCCGAAGCGGCCATGGTGATAGTTAGTTACAACAACGATTCTCTGGCAGAACTCCTTCGTGCAATTCATCCATCGCATTTTAGTACCCTATGTCAGGTTGAAATATATGGATATTGTTCCTGTTGACGCATGCTAATGCATTAGATGCTCTGCGAAATCTGTGCCTCTTGCTAGCTTGGGAATCCAATTTAAATCACCAAGTTGGTTAGAGGGGCGTGTCCCGGGGGGCGGGGGCTGGCTTTCTTTCCCAAGCAGCAGCGTTCCTTTCTTCACAGTGTCTTCCCAACAAACCCTAGCGCTCCAGTGCTTCAGCTTCCCCAACACTCCTTAGGCAACGGTGCGCATTGTTTGGGATTCTGCGCTGCTCTGCCAGGGGTCTAGGAGGGCTTCTTGCAGCCAGTACCGCAACAGACAAACAAACTGAACACACTTCGCCTGTCTAGCGCAGGCTATGAGGTTGAAAGTTCTCCGGAAAGACAAGTAAGCTGCTGGGGAATTCCGCGATGCTACCCAGCGGAAGAGGCTTGGGGAGCGCTGGGGAGCACTGGCGAACAGTAGGGAGTTCCCTACCCTGTGGCTCTGAGCGGAGAACGACGGAAGCAGCACAAGTCATTCCACGAGTGCTCGCGGATGTGCCCCGGAAGTGCCGATCTAGTGAATTTGATTGTGAATTTGATGGTGTGAGCCATGATGTCATCTTTTGCAAGGGAGACGCCCTTCACAGCAAAGGCTGTCAGGTGCACCTACCGCTTTACTGCGGTGCAAGCCTGGCACGGTTCTCCATGTGTTTTCAGCCATTGTTTTCCGGCAAGTAAGCCTAATCCTTACATGGCAGCGGTTGCGAATTGACCCGCTTCTTGTTAGCTCCCTACTTTAAATGAGGGGGAGTGACCCCACCCATTCGCCACTAGGTCTAGTAAGAAGCTACATGCCTAGCAAGAAATTTGGCCTGGAATCGACAAAGCAATGACTTGGAAGGCAGCCGGGACCGGCAACTGTGATGCCTGAAGCTGACGAACATTGCCAGACACTTCCCGGCATGTTCCAAAACCCGATGGGTGGCCAAGCTTTTCGATGGTAGAGAGGCGTATTCTAGCTTTGCCCGGCTTTGCAAGCTTCCAAGCCTACCCCCCCCCCCCGGGTTGGACCAACATGCTCATCAAAGGCGAAGCACACAATGTACCTGCTGAGCATTTTAGCTGCGGGAGGATCTGAGGCCACGTCTTGTCTGAATTGTTGTTTACCAGACAATTGAAGACGGGATCGCCTTACATCACGAGGCCAGCTTTCCTACGATGCCTTCAAACTTCAGATAAACACTGAGTCCCGATCCGCCAAACGTATCCATGCAACACCACACGAACCGGCCGGTCTCATCCACCAGCGCACCAAACCTCAACAGAGGCTGATTGGCACAGAACAGTCCACTTCCACTTACGAGCTGAGCCGCGAGATAACGCTTGGATGCCTTCATTCGAAACAAGACTTGAGAGCCATTGAAAATCCTTGGAACTCGGCATGCCATTTCCGACCACTGCCAGGTCCACCGTCGACATTGCAGAAAATGCAGCAACATCCCAATCAAGGGCACTTGGTTTCTCGAGGATTGACGATGTAAAGGCAAGGGTGGGTTGGACATCTCATCTGTAGAGCTTCGGAGCAAGCTGAAACAGCATCGTGACTTCATCTTCTGTTTGAATGCTATAGGGGGTGAAGTTGCAGCACAGAAGCTAGACAACCAGGTGTCTTCTGCAAAATTTCTTCTGCATCAAGTCCATTGTACTTTTTGGTTGGTAACTCGACATGTATTGTTGCACCAAACGAGTTGGCTCTATTGTCACTGACATCACCGAGTGTTTCTGGTGTGCAACGGATGTCTGCTTGGGCTCTCAGTGTTTGCCTCTCAGCTTGGGCTCAGCTGAGATCAGCTTAAGGCTGCGCAGAAAAAAAATGCACGCGGTCGTAGGCCAGGGATGCACAAGCAGCAAGTCCAACTGGAGAGGAACTGTCAAGGTGTAGGTACTGTGTAGAACCGGAAGGCCTCCTTCTCCTTCTTGCTGGCCTTTGCTCCAGGCCACCACCGAATGGTCCTGGAACACTTGCAAGCGCAACATGTTCAGCTTGCAGGAACTTGTCATCCTCGAAGGCAGAGGCTTGCGAGTCTGCGCCGGACGTTCTCCGATGAAGACCTGCCAGGTGGCCGCCTCTTCTTTGAGAACATCTCACAAGTCTCACAAGGGATCTACCAGATTTTCCAGCTCAGTCCGCACCTGGTGACAGTTACTTCCAGTTCGGCCGAAGGAAGAGATACCCTGCAGCTGCGCATAGCCTGCCCCAACTGCAAAGATAGACCGTCAATGGAAGCACCCTTTTCTTCAAGTTGCAAGAGGCTCGAATCACCGAGCCTCTCGCTTCCACCACCTGAATATATCAGGGATCCAGGCTGATGAATCTTCAGTCTGCCTGGGGTTGGCCTCCGTAGGGAAGATCCACCGCCTGCCAGAAAACATGGATTCTGGCAACCCCCCCCCCCCAAGAGTGAGGATTCATCAAGCGAGGTGCTCTGTCTCCCCATCATCCTCCAGCTGCGGATCCAGCAACTGGCCAAGCACATCAACAGACGCAGATGCCTCCTCCAAAGAAGCTGAGATGGATGGCCTGGTGAAGGTGAATCTGGGGAGCATGGAGCCCACGATCCTGAGCGAAGCAGCTTGTATCATGGCGCTCTGACTGGTCCTGTGCTTCAAGCTGCGATCAAAAAGGTAGGTTGCTATCGCAGTCATCCTTCTTTCCTCTGGCCTGGCCCTCACCAGGCAGGAACAACTGTTTGGCTCAGCTTGATGTTTTTCGTATCGATTCTCATGGCCTTTGGCATGATGCTTACCGCCCATGTCAGCCAGCAAAGGGTTTCATTAATCCAGGAAAGGAAAGTGACTCTCGCACCGGAGCCTGAAGACAGCGAAATGACTGCGAGATGAGAGCTGTTTGACCACAACCGCTGCACCTCCTACCTGTCTGTACTCTCCGAAACCCTTTTTAAACCCTGTGTAAATTGTAGTTTCCAGCTTCTTTTCCATTATCCCTACATATTGCATAACCCAATATTTATACCCTACCCGAACTGCCACAATCCACCAGGACATAACCTTGGCCCTCACAAACCTCTGCCCATGCCTCTCCTCAAGCAGGTGAGAAAGACGCAGATCAACATACCCTTGGACGTGCTTAGGTTCGATCGATGGATAGATAGATATAGGCCACAAATAGATAATTGCATGGATAGACCAACAGAGATGGATGGTTGAAGAGACCGATATTGAACAGATATGAATATGCAAGGTTGGTAACATTTAATTCCAAGACTCATGTATGTTGGAAGACACCCTCCCTGTTACTCATAGATACGGGAGGGTGACAGGGCTCCTTAGTTCATCCCCACGCATGAGCAGCGCAGCATGACCAATAAAACTTCAACATATTGCACATTGCAGGACAGTTACAGGCAATTTAGCTCGTCCGTGCGGAGAATCTGCTCGGAGCAGAAAGCAGATGTGCGCAACAAGGAGGATGATAACGACTAATCCACCTACGGCAACAACACCCAGCTGGAGTGCCCACAGGACACTTATCGGAAACCTTGAAACCAGCCGCTGTCAGATCTTGCAAGCAGGAATGGAAAGAAACGACGCCGCAAGATGCCGCAAGCCAACGTGCGACGCTTCAGCCGTCTGTGCCAGATTGTGCCAGCAGAGTCGCTATTTCTGTAAGGGGCGAAGCTGTGAGTCCAGGGCCTGGATGCGTGCACTTGCTGCTCAACGTGTGTCCACGTCTGATGTGCGTGACACTGCATCGGGGAACATCCGCATGAAAATGAGGTGGCATCAAATTTACGTGTTTGGCCTCTATCGGTTTTTGAGTTATCGTGTCCATCTCCACGTTTTGGGAGATCTTCTCAAAAATCCCTAGCCTAGATGAGATATGCCTATCGTTTTAGAACGTCCCCAATTGATCTTGGGGACTTTTGCGCAACAACTACCGCCTAGACTAAATGAAGTAAATAGACGGTAATTTTGACCGCAGCTCATGTTCTGAATCTATGAGTCTGCACAGGCTAGCGTGGTGCGTCCAAGCACATGATCATGATCTCTCCTCTCTCTCTCGCTGAAAACTACAATATTGTCCGAAAACCAAGCGCAGAATTGACGCGGTGTGTTGGAAGCGGACACCCTCGGCAGTTTGTGCATGTCGCAAGACGAGATTAACTTTGCAAACTCGCAGTCGGCAAGGTCTCCAGGCAACTCCTCGCTTCTCGAATCAGGAGCGAGCATGTAACGGATATGGAACGAACATGGAATCGAATTCAGAACTTGGTTTGCGAGGGCAATCGAGGAATGAAAGGCGAATATGTAATGATGAGGACTAGATTAGGGGCGCAGGGCCATGATCCCACGGATCTAGAAGTTCCGAGCCAAGCATAACAAAAAGCTTCCCTATGACGGTGTGACTTGAACCTCCTACGATCAAGTCATGCAATATGACGTGACCTCGTTCACTTACGCGTCCAAAATCATGTAAAAATACAAGGCGTTATCATGTCACTGCTCGGTCTGCTTCGTTGTCTACCCTTAGCTCTTTCTGACCATCGCAGCCGCTCTCACTCGCCCTCTTCGCTTTGCGGGCAACGGTCTTAGAATTCTGTACCAGCACCCCTTGAAATGATGACAATGGCCTTCCATGTTCTAGAAACATGATGAATATACGGCACTCTGTAATGGCTGAGCGCAGCACCAAGAGGAGCATGCTCCTGCTATGTGGTTTGAAGTGGCAAGGCCTTTCAGGCAACCACCCCGCGCCTTGCCACTGCCACCAAACCACTTGGCGCTCCAAGATTTCCAAAGCCTGCCTTCATAAGGTGGCAGCTCAAGCACTTCATTGAGGGTTGACAATCAGACATCAGCCTTGGACGAGCAGACGACCACTGATTGCGCCTGAATGTCCTGCAGGAAAAGGTATGGCAAGCTTCTCGCGTGTTTCATGCACGCTGCGGCCCAAGAGTTTAGAGCAAACAGCCGCGCCAGCACCGTCTTGACTCTGACTGAAAGACACTTTTGCCCTTTTTTCAAAGAGGGCCCCTGATAGGAGGTCCCCCATCCTTGTTGCTGAGCAACATGCTTTAAGGAGAACTGCAGAAGTGTTTCTCCTGATAGGTGGCCGAATGCCATTCATAGGAACCATCGGATCGTGTGTGGCATCAGTTTGTGCACACCGAAACTTGCGCTTGGGAGATCCAGCGCTTAAATCTTGATAGGATATTGTTTAGACAGCCGAGAGAGATCTCTTTGGGAGGCTTTGCTGCATGCAGCATTCTGTACCTTCTGAATGAACTTCTTGCCTCTCCCGATCTCAAAGCCAAGGAGCTTGAGAAGGCATTACACTTCCAGCCCGCGGCTGAATTCCTGCACCTTGCCGCAGCAACCACATATACCTGGAACAGACTAAAGGCTTGTCCCCCTGTGCTGTACGTGAAATTTAGAGGTCCACTGGACAGTTGGCAACCAGGTTTGAAGCAGCATGCTTTTGACCATTCTGCAGCGCGCCGTTCTCAAGAACTAGCGTACCACGTCTGATACCGAAAACTAGGCACCAAAACTATGCATTGCAGTCAGGCCAGCATGCTGCACAATCTCTCAGGATCAGGATGCTGAGCTCGAGGCCTCAACAGTACTGATGGGCTGACATGGGCGAATTTCAGATAATTCGGCTGCCGTTTCCTCTGGATGTTGCCAAGAGCTGAGGGCCAGGCAGGTAGGATGACATTTGCAGGATTCTGTGCAAAGGCCCAACAGGGCGTGAATTGAACTCGCTGGCAAGACAAGGTCCTGAGGCCTCTGATAAACGATTTACTTCGTTAAGGCCGGACTGTCCACCAGCAAGATTTGCAAGCTGGGCCCTATGGCCCAGCAGCACCTTCAAGGCACCTTCAAGTCAACAGCGGCTTTTTGGGGGCCCCAACGAACCGGCCCCGGCCTTGGCGCTCACACCCGGGCGGCTTCTCCAAAACGCGAATTGGCTTACAATTTGGTTGGGGCGCCCGGGTGCTCACGCGAAGCTCACGCGAAGCTTACGCAAAGCTCACGCGAAGCATGTTTATGTTGAACAGCTCTCCCAGAGACTGTCCTGACAAAACAGCCAGGTGCAACTTTGGCCATTCTGGCAGCGCACACTGTGTTGTTTCACAGTAAATGCCTGACAACGCCTCAACCCAGCACGTGATATGGCAACTTGACAACAAATTGGCTTTCGCACAATCACACTGACACACCTCCCAAGGTCCCTTTCAAAGGCCTGCAAAACAGCTGGGCATGCCTTGCACCCATCTGCAGGCGAGATTGACGCCGTCAGTTCCAGGTGTAGTCTGGGCTGGCATGCCCCATGAATTCAAGGGCGAAAACTTTCGCCCGAGCTTTTCAAGCTTGTTGAACAAGCAGATTGCTTTGCAAGCTCCTCTCCGCAGATGTCATTCTCAGCCTCAGACCAGTTTCCGCAAGGAATCCACTATCCCCGCTTACGTTGGACATCCTTCATTAATGCTAAGCCTCTGCAGCAGCGCTAGGAACACGATTGGAGCTGTGAATTGGCATCACATGCAGACGATTCAATTTCATCCATGTGTCATTTTAGCCACAAACAGTACATACGAGCCTTCCCTGATCACGAATTGTTCGGAACTCAAGCTTTGGCTCATCTCTCTAGCAGCCGCCAGCGAGCTGTTGCTGACAACACCCCATTGCTACCCTGACCAGCAGGAGCGCCGCAAATGCAGGATATATGCCAGCAAGACTGCATGTTGGGTAATCTCTGGTGCCTATCTCGTCTGTCTGAGTGCTTCTGACAGCCGGCTTCACTAAGTCTGGGCTCTGGGATGCTCTGGGCGCATGGACAACCGGTCCTGTCGCGTTTTTGAAGATTCCCAATGGCTGTGCTTTTGACCTTTGATGCCATTGCTCCTGTGGACAAGCTATACATCCAGCCGGGAACAGGTCAACACTGAGCGAAGCATTCTGGACTTAGAGCAAGACATAAAGCAAAGCTTCCGTACTGCGGCGCGTAATCGCTGTATCCGTTGTTCCAGGTTCCTTGGCGCAAACGTTTTCCGACTCAACTTACAGCTGCATGGTTGATGCCCTGCATGAAAGCGTGTCTTCTCAATGAGCGTCGCACTGCAGAAAACCTGGCCCCAACACACATACGTTGTGCAGCCGGCCGCCTTTTTCACGCTGCGACATGCGACGCTACGTTCGTGCATGCTGCTATTTGCAGCACAAACACGGATGAATCCTAAGTCACAGCTTTGCAACCCTCGCGGTTGGCATCCTATCATTCAGGGTCTCCCCACTGGGTCACATAGCACATCGATGGCAGCCTGATGCTCACAGCTGTTTACATGCAAGCCATGCAAGTACAAAGATAGAGATGTGCACTGGCACTTCCAACATCCTAGCCCTTTGAAATAATTAGATCGATCTTTCGCATAAAACACCCTCCAGTGCACTACTCCCACATAGGATTCAGAAGAATAATGAGAGAGCCCTTGCGACTTCCTGCCCGCGGTCTTGGTCTGTTTTTTTCTCTGCTTTGTGCAAGTCAGGGATCGCACGCAGGACACGGACATCGGCCGTGGATCCAGGGGAACGGCGCTCCATTCTTGCCTGGTGCGTCTCCAACCGTCAAGCGACGCTTCTTTCGCTTTTCGTTATCTGCCAGGTAGTCGTGTACCAGGCGTCCATGCCTGGATCCAGCTCAGTACAAAGATGTGCAATAAGCAGAAAGCAGACAAAACCATGCACTTGTCAAAGCCCGAGGCGCACAAAGACTTTCTCAACCACGGCGCTGCGCAAATCGGAGGCGCTGGGTTCCCCGTTGCCGCGGAGTGATAGGATGATGAAGTCAGCTTCCTTACCTGTCCAGCCAACCAAAAACCAGCCCACCTTGAAGAAAGCCATGTCCTAAGTGCCTTGAAGTGCCTTACCTTTCCCAGTCCGCGTAAAATCCCTACACACTCTGGAGTCAACACAAGGTTCTTAGGGAAGCTTGTCCACCCCGCGTAGCCCAGACAACTGCAATCACCACAGAGACGCGTGTAGGACACTTAAGCTCTTGCCCAAAAATCACATGAGTATCTAACGATCTGACTACGCGGCCTGATTCTGTACACGGCGACGATGTCATGGAAATATGGAAGGGGCTGACATGCTACCCTGTAGCTGGAGCACACCTCTCACTTCTGTCACTTCTCACTGGCTACCAGCTCAGCTCCGCCCAAGCAGCAACAAATTCCCCCATCATTTGTTGTTATGCCAGGGTTCCCGAAAGTTTGCTGGGAAGTTTTGGGCTTCTTTCAAACGGGGATCTTACCGCTCGGCCCGCCTCCAGGAAGACCATCGTGCGGCCAAAGCTTGCAAAAGAAATGTTCGAATACACTTGCAATGCAGCGCTTGAGGGTGTTTTTTGAATGGGCAATAAGCCTTCAAAGCCCGTGAGGGTACTGTAACGGCCTGCACATCGACTGGCGCGAAAGGAGTGTCGCAAGTGACCTTCATATAAGCGAAATACAAGTCATATGTCTCAGTGCGCTTGCGAATCTTTTGTCCAATGAATGGCTGTGAAGTTTGTAGGGCAATTCTGCGTGGATCTTTTAAAAGGCATTTGTGTTCTTAACTAAATTTCAAGAAAACATTGTTGCCATCCTGAAACCTGGCTTCGAAAACTATCTTGCGAAAATGAAACTTTCGAAGAAAATCTTTCGTCCGGCAAAAGAAAAAACAAGCCCCAGGGCACCACTACCCAATGCAGACGCTGCCAATGCCTGATGAATGCCCCCGACTTTGCAAGTGTGCGACCGGATTCTTGTAAAACAATATTTGCGACTACGTAATGCCTCAACGCAAGTTCAAACAACAGAAATGCCCACGAACTTCGTTCTGCTAAAGAATGCCCTTAACATTTGGGAAGTCTTCGGTTCCTCACAGACACCCCACCTTACGCAAGGAATCTCTGAGCAACCAAGCCCTTCACAACGTCTTACGTGTCAGAAGGCGAGCGCTATGCCCATGAATAAGACACTATGAGATCTTCCTCTAGGCCGCAACACTCACCAACCATGGGTTTGGGCTGTGGCGCCCAGCCTGTCTCTAGGCTGCCCAGGCGCTCCTGACTATCGTTATCCATGTTTGCTATCCTAAACCAGGGGTTGGAAATCAACAATGCTGCAAGAACCTGCATGCAGCTCCTCCGCGCGTGCCGCATATGCCGCTTCAGTAGTGTACATTGATAGTGCCTCCGCAAATGTCATCCTCTCCTTGGTGTGTGTGCGTGTGTGTTTGTGCCTTACATTCCCCCAGTTCCTGCGAATCACGGAAATACTCTTTAAAGTTTCGGAAAGAATCATACTGAAGACTAGACAGGTAGCAGACGCGAACAGGGAATGCTCCATGGCATCGGCCATGCCAATCAAAGGTGTTGGGGACTCTACAGGCGCATCGCTCCCACCAGCAACACGAACACCACTGTTCATCAACGTCTTCCAGACATACGCATAGCGAAAGCGTTCAGTTGCCTCGCCTACCCGAGACTTGATGATAGGCAGATCTGACGGCACAAACTGAGGCTGGACGTTAGCAATTATACCAGACTTAGACATGCGACTCACCAAGCTCTTGCTCAGAAACTGGCAGTGCGTAAGGACTGGCCGCTCGCTACCAGGCATCAGCTTCTCAAAGGCATCAATAAGATCTGTCGCAGCGCGGTCACCAATAGCATGCGCTTCAGCTCTAAAGCCATGCTCTCTCAGGAGAACTAATGTGGAATCAATTTCCGCACGCGTCATCTGCATGACTCCAGAATTTGCTGGGTTGTCCGCATAAGGTTCAAGCATTGCGGCTGTGCTTGCCCCCAGCCCACCATCCGTCCATATCTTGGCCCGATCGCAGGAAAGAAGACCCGATGGATGCGATGCCTTTGCTTTTGGCATACCTTCCTGCCCAACGGCTTGCCACTCGATCGTCAAGAAAACACGGCATGGAAGCTTCTTTTCATCGGCCAGGGAAGCGTAAGCCTCAAACGGCATTCTGATTCCTCCCAAGGTCTTTCCATCGTTGGATTGGACAAATGTTATACCATTGTCCACGCAAAGCTTCAAGCCTCTGAGAAGTGTAGCTTTTTGACGTTCAATGCTTTCTTCCTCCTTTAGATTTTCAAGAAGCAGTGTCAAAGCACTCTCTTTCAGAATGCCTGTGGGTTGTCGGTCAGAGTCCCGCTCAATGACGCCGCCATCTGGATCGGGGGTGTCCATCGTAATAGCGCACTTTTGTAAAGCTGCAGAATTCAGTACACAAACATGGTGACAGCGGCGGTAAAAAACAGCCGGAATGTCGGTAGGAACACAGGCGTCGAGGTCGTGTCTAGTGGGAATTCGCCCGAGCAGGTCTTGGTCCCAGCCCATACCTTCTAAGACTTTCAGGGAGGGCTCTTGCAACATATGCTCTCGTGTCCTGTCTTTCAGCTCGTCGATTGACTTACAGTCGCCGAGGTTTACTGCCGCATCTGCCTTTCCCAAAGCATATACCTCGACAGTTCAAATCTGCACTCACGTGCTCACAACCCGTCGCTTCCGGCAACAGCCCAAGCATGGGCTCCACTAAGGCTAAGACGTGCAGGTGGCTGTCTGCCAATCCTGGCAGAACAGTCCGCCCCTCCAAGTCCACCGCACGTCCTGCGACTCTCAGGCAACGTCTGCAGCCCTTTTATACCCTTTTCCCCTACCTTTTTCGGCATTGCTTGGCCTTTAAGATGTGATGGAGGCTCACCACATCCAGTGGAACCAATCAGTCCGTTCTCCACATGCAGCCAATTTTTCGTGACCACTTTGCCATGAGAGAGGGTCAGGATTTGTCCGTTCCGCAGAAGCAGCGACTCTGCAGACATGGCAAGGATATCTCGCTGACGTGAGGCTGGCAATGCTGCAAACAACAGTCGCGAATTGTAACAAATGGAAAGCAGCAGCCGCAAAACAACACAGGGTCTGTGCCTGCGCCACACCCCTGTTGACAAGGTGGGATGTCGACCGCACAGCAATTCGGCACAGCTCCTGCCAAGAAGGGACTTGGCCAAAGACACTGCCTGAAAGACTCCGTCCATCAACTAGAAAATACTCGAAAGGACACATGATTAACTCGTTTTCAGCCTAGCAGCGTCCTCCATGCCATAAATCACTGGTAGGTATGGGGGTGTCACAGCATGAGGCAGTCCAGTACCCTTCCAAACGCTAGGGGAATGTGTCGAGTCGTGTCCTCTTTGGCTGACCGCGCTGACATCGCTTCATCTCCAGGTATTGGCCCCAGCTCAGCCCGCATCAGCACGTCCACTGGCTCTCCAGCCGGGTAGCAGCCCCCAAACAAGGCGCCCCGGAAGCCCCCTGCACCTGAGCCAAACGCACAATCTTACGAAAAAGCCTGCATTTGCATCTTCTTGCTAATGATTGGTACATGTTTGAAGCCTAAAGAACGTGGGGACAACAGAAGCCCACTGAGATGCTTGGATCTTCGTCTTGCAACCCCTGCGCCTGGCAAACATTTCAGAGCACCGCCCAACTCCAGGGCCTGAGCACCAAGTACCAAGACTTGACAACAGGCTTAGGACTAGATGCAAATCCGCCTGCCACACAGCGAAAGCTCCCACGCGGCCCGCAAGAGATGGCCGCAGTTGGCAGACGCACGCAACCTTACGCGGCCACCAAACGGGTAATGCCAGCAGGTCCGCAAAGCACAGCTGCCTAGCACAAGGTCCAAGGTCCCAGAAGGTCTGAGAGCTTGACTTCTGTATGTTCGAACTCCTTGGCTAGGGGTTCACCGCCCACTGAAACTCAATGGCGCGTTGGCTCTGGTGCATTCTGCTCCATACGCTCAATCTGGCAGAGAAGAAGACCTTCGCTTCTTTTGCCATATTTAGCTTCAAAGAACCCCGAACTTGCCTGCCCAAGATGTGCCCCACACGTCAAAGGACCCCACTTTCTTTCTCCTGCCAGGCGGCTGGGGCATCCCAGAGCTGCAGTGCCCTCACCGGGGCCAAAGGCTTCGGAGGCGATGGGGCCATCAGCCGCGTGGCGCCCAAGGGCACCCGCAAGCGAGCCCTGTCATCATCCCCAAGTAATAGCAATAGTAGCAATAATGTGAATAGTAATAGAAGCAACAATAGTAATAGTACTAGCAATAGCAATAGTATTAGTAATAATAATAATAACATGAATAGTACTGATATGAATAGGGCTAACATGAAGAGTAATACTAATAGTGCAAAAAAGTTTCAGTGAGCTTGCCTTGGGCTAGCTAGGAATGAAGGAATGGATCCTTGTAGTGGTCCCCTATATAACCCATGAGAGTAGCTTCCATTGTCTTTGCCATTCCTGCATTCCCAACATAAACAAAAGCCAGTCATCCCAAAGCGACAAGCAAGTTTCAGTAAGCTTCTGAGCTGCTGAGCTGTGAGCCTGAGGGATTGGTTGTCCGGCAGAAGATACGAAAGATCAACCTCAAGCAAAAAAAACACTTCAAGACACAAAAGGATGAAAGCTGTCTTGAACGCTATGCCTGAGGGCCCCCATCCGATGAATCCACCACACCAAACACCTGCAAAGTGGCACACTATCAAAATGCCTTAAGCTTCATCCGGGAGAGTCCCGCTTGCATCTGGAAACTGCTTGCATGTCAAGAAGTACGGGACTCCGGTCGGCGTTTAAGTGCAGGCATGCGTGCTGTGAACCCGCCAAAACTGTTCGACTTTGTTGAGAAAGTTATGCCTGCTGTTGAAAACATGGTCCTGCAAAACAGCAGCTGTGCCCTACCGTTCGGAAGCTCGGAACACAACACAACAAACCAGACCTGGGTTCCAACATGAGGAAGTGGCAGCTTGGCTTCGCCATGCAAACCCACACAGCCCATCGGCAGACAAATGATTGCCCTCTGACACATCGCTTGCATGACAGGATGAACAGCAGCACGTCGTCTCTCACACTTGACATGAAACAGAACGACTTCTGAAAGCAGAAAGCCGCCGCCCGCCTCCAGCTTGCCTTGAAAGCGCAGCTGGTGCTGCGGCCAGAGCATTGAGGAGTGGCCCCTTCCCTGGCCTGTCACCTGCCATCATCTGCACTGCAGCTTGGTTGGGTTTGTGGGTTGTGCAGAGACCTCCCCCTGCATACGCTACCTCCGGACTTTCAGACAATCATTGAGAATGAGACCGTCGAAGCTACAGTACCGCTCACACTGCAGCAACCTTAAGGCTCCCAAACGTGGCTGTGCACTTTCCGAAAAACGGCAAGGTGTCAAGAGAACTGCTGTTCATGGGGTATGCATCAACATATTTCGATGTCCGCATCATTGACTGAGACCCAACAGCCGTGCTTGCCGTCGGTGGTCCCGAACAAACATGCGTGGGCCAGAGAGTTTTGACTCTGAGGATTTCCTGACGCTATAGCATGACAGTATTCCATCAAGGATCACAAGCTCTGTCAACTTGCGCAGGACTCACCTGCAATTGCAAGTCAAAGCGGCTTGCCACACCTTTGTGCTTTGAATGGCTCCAGTCTCCCAGTGGCAAAAAAAAAGGGTACCTTCACTGCTGCTCCAATGGACAGCACTTCACATTAAAGCTGGGTGCGGGGACTATGTGCATCAGCTGCGGGCTGGAGCTTCACATCCTGGGCCAGCAGTCTGTAGAGAAGGATATCATTCACACAACCTTGGCATTTAACAACGCACAAGTCTGAGCACCCATCATGAATTTGGTGGCCGCCACCTGCTCTGAAGGCTGCAATATGCATGGAACGGTCGAAATGAGGCGAAGTTGCAGGGACAATTTGCTGAGACCGCCACGATTGGAAAGCACAGCCTTGATAAGTCAGAGCTGGGACGCTGGGACATGCTGAGTGGCAGACGTTTCTCTGCCTCAAACTCGATGCTCGGTCGGGAGACTCTGGACGTTGAAGGTGTGACATGCATGCTCATTGTCAGGAGAACCTCAACATTTCCCATGCTCCAGCTGAGACACGCAAACATTATTCTGATTGTGATTGACCTATGCCCTGAGCCTGCTGATCTTCGTACAGGGTGCCCTGGGCCTTCACCAGTAACTCGCGGAAGTGGGAACTCGTTCTCAACGCGAGCTCGTTCCTTGCAATTTCATTGTAGAGACAAGTGCCAACGCCACATAGCAACCGCCAGTGCATGCTTGATTGAGGCTACTGCGAAGGCGGCATTCGCCTGCTCAGATGCGAATCATGAGGCTGAGGAAACCCTCTGAAGCAGAATCATAATTGAGGCCGGAAACAAACAGTCTCTTAGCAGCTCTGACACAAAAACAATTGCTTTACAGAACCCCTCCCCCAAAACGAAAGCGCATATTTTTTTAGATATATGTTGATGATATACTCGCCAAACTCCCTAACGATGATGAACTACGATCACCAGTCACCAAAATCATACTCACAAGCCCTCACATGAGGCCTGGACCAAATTGGAGATCCCCATATAGCACCTTATGGAGATCATTAGCATCCTTATTAGAACCCTTATTGTGGTATTGGTTTAGCCCACCATGGAGCTTAAAGAGTGGGCAGCTGGCCTGACCAGGGCTCCCAGGGGCTGCCAGATCCGAGGAGTTTGCATCCAGGTCTGCAGTTGATGAAGGAACGGGAAAGAAAATGGAAGCTACAATATCGTGTGGATTTTCTAGGCACTGTTATAAGGACAGCAGAACAACTCTAACAAATGCAATCTTCACTTCATGTTAGCTGCTGAGTGTATCCACATACGTAATTGTGGACATAGACAAATGCGCGCAGCTTCATGACTCACAGTGCTGACAGAATAGTGTCAGGACGCAATGGTCCCGACTCGCCGAACCTCCGCGGTGCTCCTCGGCAGAGCTGCTGCCTTCTGCGGCTCCCTGAGAAGCGCATGGCAGCGTACGAAGCAGCACTCAGCTGAGTCAGAAAAGCCCTGGCCTCGCTTCAGCGAGCCTGGAGGCGTCAGACCTGATTTCAGACTCACAAGGACGAAAACGTGAAAACCTTCACTTCGCGAAAAGATGTTTGCTCCGCAACGTGCCTGCCAGGTGCCTTGTCTGAGATCGTGGAAGCCAACTCGTCCGCCTGCCAACTTGCGAAAACCGCAAGGGCATCCCCACAACGCACTCCAGTCAGAAAAAGGCTTCTGGGCCTGATGCACGGCCAAGGACCGGGTTGGCTCGGGCAGAGCTCCAAGAGCTTGCAGAGCTCCAGGAGGTGCGCCGCCACCGTAGGGAACGCTTCTCCTATCTGGAAAAGGAGCAGATTCAGCTGCATGATGCTAAATGACAGCGAGTTTCTTCACTCCTTCGCGGGTCAGCCTCCAGCCCGGTGGCAGAAGAAAGCGCATGTCTTGCTTGCCTGCTCAAGGTGTTTGCCAGTGCCAGGAAGGTTTTGTACGCAGGGAATTGCTTCGCCCTCAGACCCATCAGCCTCAGCTCGACTTCTGCCACTGTCTGCTGAGCTTGTGCACCTGGCGCGGCATCCCCACCACGCTGCACCCACCAGAAGATTGGAGATGTTCTGGCAAGGAATGTGCTGATCTTAGACTGTTGCTTCTAATTTCTTTGAATTGCTTGTCACGCTCCATCCTTCAGCCTGTTATGGGTGTTTTTAGTTGTTATTGGAAGGTTACCAAGAAAACATCCAACTGCATGACTGGGCTCAAGAACAGCCTTCATCTAACTTAAGGCTTGCTGGTATTCTTTCGATTTCGCACGACAGGAGGCTTCGCAAAACCCCAAGGTGTAGCTGCAACTTTCTCCAGCTTGCAAAGGCAAACGTGCTGAGGCTACCCTTCAAGCGGTCCTGAAGCGACTTCTGCACCTGCTGGTATGAACGTCAGAGACGCATCTGATCATCTGACATGTACTCAGAGTCATAGCTGCGCCTGGTTCTCATGCACGAGTTTTTCCTCCAGCTCGGCTACACGCTGCTGTGCTTCCACGAGACGCTGGCAGGTGTCAGAGAAGACCTGTTTCAAGCGAACCCTTTCCCCAGAGTTCCAAGATTACAGATTCTCAGCATTCTTTGTGCCTCTTCCTTCTCTGCCAGGCGCTTCTCAGCCTCATCTGTCAGACTGATTCAACTTTTGCAGCGCAATAAATGCCCTGCCTCAGATGCCCGGCGCCTTGCGGCGGCCAAGTCAAGGCAACGCCGGTCTAGTTCAGCCTGTGGAGGCGGCACCGCCAAAAACCCCCTCACTCACGTCCTCACTGAGTCCTCTCTTTCGAAGTGTTTTGAATGCTTTCCAACATGTCCCAACCACACCTGGATCTGCATGTTGGTCTCCCGCAGAGCTACAATTGTCAAGTCCTTGTTGCCCTGGCCCTCCTGACAAATGGTGAGATAGACATGGGGTCGCTACTTGTACGTCTTGTCTTGTCCTGCTCCAGCTCGTTGATGCGTTTTTGAGCGGCCTGCGGATGACTGCAACGGCAACAGCTCCCAACCTTTGCTGCGTCAGAGCTTGCTGCAAGAGCACGCGCCCTCCAGCGCTCAGGAACTAAACACGTGTTGAAGGCCTTCAGCTCCTTGGAGCTAGCACTGCTTCGCAACTGGCTCTTGAGCTCGTCCACCTCAGTTGGCTGCCAAATCTGGCTTTTACAACTGTAGGATCAAGCGAGCGGCCTCTGCTTGCAACCTTTCGCACTGTTGGCGCAAGGAGTCTTCCTCTTCAGCCTGGCTCCCACCTCAAAGAAACTAAGCATCATATTAGACTGCTTTGGAGGTTGCAGTCTTTAAGCGTGCCACTGGCCATCACAGCATCAACATTCTCCAAGCTCTGCTCGGCATCAGCTGAGTGTGACCTCTCACCTGACCGCAGCACTTCATATGTACTGGGAAGTTGCTTGCGGGATTTGCGGGGGTTCTTCTCCAACAAGGTCAAGGTTGAAGGCCTCCAGAGCCCCCAGCCATACCAGCCATAGCCATCATGGCGCTGGCAGAGCCGCTGAAGGTTGGGCCGGTTGGGTCCCCTGTGGATCAAAAGGAAAAGGGCAACTCCTTGATAGCTTTTCTTCAGGCGAGCCTGTACCAGCAGCTCGAGCAAACTGGAGGTCAGAGTCAATGGATGGCTGAGAGGGCTTGGATTCTGGCACCTCAAAGCCAGCACTGTTGAAGCTGTAGTCCGAAGCAAATCCTCCAGCCTGCTCACCTCATGCACACAAGCTTCGAGCTACACTTACCACAGGTCGCAACACTGGTCTTCTAGAAGCACCCACGGCTAGGCTAAGTCGGTGCCGCCCTGAAACGGCAATGAGCATCCAAAAAACAGCTGCAAAATCTCCATGGTATGGCCAAGGAGCTGCCAAATTGAGCAATGCCCGGGCTAGATTCGGGAAATGAGGCGCCGAAACCGCCGAAACCATCAGCAGTCATGGTCGTAGCAAAGGGGTCGCTGACAGCGTCCCCGGGAGTTGACGGAAAAGCCGTAGAGCTCAGACCAAAGCTTCCGCCGAACTCGCCAGAACGATAGGCGGCCACAGCCTCATCCGCATCAGCCCAGCTGGGCTGCCCAAAGCTCGGAGTCATGGCCGCCTCGGGCTGAGGCTCTGACCCCTCGATCTGGGCATCCTTTTTGCGTCGCCGGTGCTTCTTGTGTGAACTTGCGTGGCTCTCCTGCATCGTGTCTGAGTCGGGTGGTGATGGGGAAACCCCGGAAAAAGTCCGTGAAAATTCCGTTGAAACCGATGGAGATGAATCAATCCTGTTTCCCAGCTCAGCATATCGAACTGCAACTTCAGAGAGGCGCTCATAGGCTGCCATGTCCCCTTTCTCCACAGCTTCTGCTGCTGCATGTTGCCATTGGGCGAGTGTTGACTCGTAATGTGCTTTTGCTTCCGCCACCTCTGTGGAGCCGAGCCCGTGTTGGGCGATCGCGCTCTGCACCTCCGTGGCCAAACTTTGCAGCGTCGCCTCGGAGAGCTCCTCCGTGGCCGCAGCAGGCGCAACAGCAGGCGCCTCGCTTCCTCCGAAACCGAAAGCTCCCGCGTCTCGGCTGGCTGAAGGCTTCGTTAGGAAAGCATATTCCGCAGGACCTTGGGGGAAGCGAACGTTCTCTTTGGTCAGTTCCTTCCAGGCTTCCACGATCTTCATCCCATTAAGGCTTCCTGAAGTCTCATAATACCGGCCCCACTTATCCAGCAGCTCCAGAGTAATCGACAGCATGGCTTCAATGTCTTCTGGCAGGGCCTTGTTGTTGAAGACAGAGGTTGGGCGTCCTCAGTGTTACCCGCTTTATGATCAGTCTGTCACGAGTCGCAGGTTTCTTTGCCTGGATTTGACGAATGGTCATCCTGCAATGCAAATTCTGAGAGGCCATCGCTTCCGCCGTTCTTTCTCCTGCAGTCCACAAAGGCAAAAAACAAGCAACTTGGCAGCGCTCCGAAACAAGAACTTGCTTGTCGGCCTTTGTTTTCTTCGCGATGTTCACAAAGAATTTCAGCTCCCGAGAAAATGCTTCAGCCAGCTGGCCATCTTTGACATCCATTAGAAAATCGAGCACCTCAGCAACTCCTTCTGCACGAGGCATGGAACAAGTTTGAAATTGACACTCCACTCAGTGCCAGACTCGCATCATTGCCATTTTGCCAGATGCAAGCTCATTCCTGGAAGAGATTTGCTTTTTTCTTCGGATTACACTGATATCTCAGCGCTGCCCTGCTGCCAAGGTGCGGGTCTTTGAGGTACCGCATGCAGCGTGCCACTGTGGCATTCCCTGCACCCCAGCGCGACAAGTCGTAGAGCCTGCACAGACAGAGAAGCAGTGCTAGCCTGTGTAGAGGAGGAAGAGATGCCCTCCGGAATTCTGAAAGGGTCACACCCCATAATTAAAGGAGGGCCCCGTCTGTAAAAAAAAGGACGTGGAGCTCCCATTTTGCATACCGACTAGCAGACAAGAAGCCGCAACAACCAACCCACTCTCAACAGTTCAGTATAGACGGACACAACAACCTAAAATAGCAGTAGCCTTGGCAGAGAACGCTCTCGATTCCCGCATTTTGAAAAGCTGTCTGTGTACGTTGAGAGTATGTTCACATTGAGAAAGCGCTGTCGACATCAAGCAAAGATGGAGAAAGGCGTCAAATTGAAGCAAACATGTTTACATGTTTGCATGAAGGCAGCGAAACGTAAAGAAATGCCTTAGGAGTTCCTGGCGCACGGGCTCTGAGTCCAGCTGCGACGGGTCAGCAGCAATCTCCTCACCAAAGCACAGCTACTCACCTTCACCTTTTCAATTGATGTTTGGTGCCAGCAACCAGCGTCTAGGTATCTACATATTCTTAAATCGAGCAAGTTTGACGCCATTCTGAGTAGCTTTCACTGATGCGCTACACCGTCATCCAGAAACATGACTTGCACACCGTAGTTGATATTGCGCCAGATGTGAGGAGCCATTTGGCAGGGGTCGGTCGCTGCCTCAAACATGAAGGATCATGAAGGCCACATGAAACATACCAAAGAGCAGTCACTGACTGCTTACTGTCCAACACCCCCATGGACAACTGATCGTTGCGACCATTTCGTGGCGCCACCTTTTGACAATACCACGAAGCATATGGAGCCTTACCAGAGGCAGGGACTGCGGCATGTGACTCTGAGTGCGAAGCATGAAGCCACTTGCCAGGCTGGCGCAGAGTACATATATATATATATCTATATTCCCACTCTAGAAAACAAGTTCAAGAACTGTATCCGTTGAAGACCGAGTCGCTTGTAGGCTGCAACATCCTACATCTGGGCTGTATGGGGTCTCTTGAACATGTTGACAGCAGTTCTTACCGCTTCTTGTCCAGACCCCGAAGCAGGCGCTTTGCAGACCAGGCCTCAGCCTTCTGTGGTACACCAAAAAAGAAAGTTTTCCACCTTTCCCTGGCTCTCTCCCGCCTCCCCTCCCTTTCGGCGCATGTGCGGAGAGGCCAACCTCCATACCCTGTAAGGCTCGTTTTACGCGATAGCCGACACCGATCTGATCACCGGGTCGCACGCCACTCCTTGATGACGTCTTCAAGCAAGGATGTACTCTCAAGAACTCCGGGTGACAAAGGCGACCTCCAGCTGAGTTTGGTCTGGCAAGCAGCGCCAAGCAGGGCGAAGCAGAGCGAAGCAGAGCAAAGCAGGGAGGGAGCTCTGAGGTCTTGACCCGGTGTCGGAGGCCATGGCGAAGCAGTCAAGTACGACGCAGTAACTGATGACTGAGCTCGCTGAGTTCTGAGGGTCTGTTGGCGCATATGACACATACTGGCTTGCTCTTGATGTTGCTGGTTGCTTCATGGAAACCATGTATTGGCAGCCTCTTGGGACTCACTAGCTGCGGCATGCTCCATCTTGGGCCACTTGCTGTGCAATGATGTGCAATGGCTGCGAACCAGCACTGGACTGCATGCTGAGATGTAGACCTTCGTTCCAGGCATTCCAACCTCTGAGCAAATCGGTCATGGCCGTGTGAGTTGCATGCTGAATCCAGCTGCCGAATCGGATCAGCTAGCGGAGTTGAGTCCAACCCCCATTGAAAGACTATTGAAAGGCGATGTGTGCAGTTGCTCGCGCGAGTGGCTTGAACAACCTGTGCAGTATAGATAGACGACATTCCGCAGATCGAGTGAGGCCAGCACTTCCAGTTGACAGCCTAAGCAAAGGGCAATCCCGGCAGTGATTTTCCCATGGTGATCCCCTCCGCAGGCTTGGGCAGTCACATGCTCTCGTTTCCAAAATTGCCATAGCCCGAAAGATCGGCCCCAGCACCTGCAGCCACAAAAGAAATTAAATCGCCATGAAATGTCTCGTGCCTGGAAAGCAAGTCTTGCAGAGCCGTGCGATGTCAACCTCACAAGCCGAGCTTGTAGCCAGTGTTCCCATACCAGGCTGTGCTGTAAGCATAGCCTGAAGCAGAGCAACATAGACATAGAGCAAATAAGTAGCTAGCATGACATGCATACTTCTGCATCGAACCACACTGGGCTACCAGCTCTCCATCCACTGCTCCTTCGCGGATGTCTTGATCAGACAAGCCGCTAGTGAATGGCAAAGCGGCCTCTGCTACCGGCTCGTCCGTAACCGTGCTGGTCTCACTGACATCAGTGGTACTGCCTCAGACCAGCGTCCGTATCATTGCGAAACGCAGGTGACTTCAATGCTCTCAGGGCAAGACTACCATCTGCACACATGGTTCCTGAGATGTCAACATGTCCCAATCTGTCAATACGTCTTCACGTGTTTTCATCCAAAGCTTTGCGTGCCAAGGCTCCCTTGAGCAAGTCCGCATCAATTTCGTCCAGCCTTGGCTTCAAATGCAGAATGGCAATACAGACGAAAATGCTTCGCATCGCTTCACGCTATGAGATGCTGTCCTGAGAGGTACGTGCACATACGCAGGAGCATCAGCACCTGACAAAGGGCGCCCTCACTCTTCAAAAGTAAACAAGATGATGAAGTGCCAGACCTGACTCGTCGGGCACCGGCAAGCCCAACTGCAAGTCGGACTTGGCACCATGCCAAGGTCACGTAATGCATTGCATGCCCAAGCCACGTTCGGACTTGTTTATACCCAGGGCAGGGGCCATGTCTGGCAGGGCAGATGGCATAGGCATGCCAAACGTCTCTCGGAAGAGGTAGACATCCTCTGCCGCAAGAGGCATTCGAATTCAAACTTCTTTGTAGATGTTAGCAGATCCGCCTTGGAGTCCCTGCCAGGCATCGGTGCCATTGCCTTTGTTAAGCAGCTCAATCTTGCTATGCCACAAACTGGGATTTGTGATCTCATCCTTGCCTGGGATGTTGGTGTTTCTGTTCTGAAGACGTCATAGTTGGTGCCTCAAGGCAGGGAAAGCTCGTGATTTTCATGGACACCTCGCTGAAGGCTGTTGAGGTCTCCAAGGGCTCTGCCATTCCATTCCTCCAAGCCCGGCGGCAATGTCAGCCGGTCAGTGGCCTGACGAAGGGCTATACCCAAGTGGTGTCCTGCTCGCTTTTGAGACCCAATGCCTATAATGACCTATGATGTTTTTTGCTTCTACTACTTGCTTTTTGAAGTGGGCTGCAAGTGTCCCTCTCCCGCCTGGGAAGGCACCACCTGGCAAGTGGCGTTAAAGTTCACGCAGTACTTTCCAGAAGCTTCTTCTTCCTGGCCTCTCTCTGGCCAACTCTTCCACCTGAGACGCAAACATCCCAAACCGGGCTGTGCCACGATTATCGGCAGTTGGCATTCCATGTGTAAAGCATTTAAAAAATGACAAATACCCATGACCGTATCAAAAGCCCACAACCCAGCCCATACATCCGCTGAGGCGACAAAATGTCCATAGCAAGCAATGCTCTTTTCGACTGCTTCTGGGAAGAATAAGCGACCCGGGTGTTGGTTTGCCTATGAGCCATAAACAATATTGCTTGGGACTATGATCAAATGCAATGTGAGGGGGCTACGACTATGAGACATATTGTTTTGAATATGGCTTGACCTCACGGAACATGCAACGCAGTTGAGCCAGCTTTTTTCCAAGAC